TATATATATATATATATATATATATATATATATATATAATGAGAGAGAGAGAGGGACAGCAAATGTGGAACCCTTACTACTTTGATGTTCTGAATACACCATAATATTTTAGTTAGGACGGTGGGAGCAGAAACGAGGGTACAGATGTATGTAGGTTAATTGGTTTTTACCTCTGGTGGAGAGAGAGAGAGAGAGAGAGAGAGAGAGAGAGAGACCAAATTAGTTCATCTGGGCACCGCTTCACTGCCCTTCTTACCTGAATATATTAATATTAGAGTACCATCGCTGGTATATATTATTATTAATATTTTAGTATCATCGCTGGTATATCTGTTGTTTAAAATGCATCACATTTTAAAGTTAAAATACAGTTGGTGATCACAGTAACTGAAGATACTGATATTGCTACTTAATATTCTTATCCTCTTTTTCGTCGACGTTATCATCGATGTGTATATATATATATAATATATATATATATATATATATATATAATATATATATATATATATTATATTAATATATATATATATATATATATATATATATATATAATATATTTTCAACAAGTCGGCCGTCTCCCACCGAGGCAGGGTGACCCTAAAAAGAAAGAAAATCCCAAAAAGAAAATACTTTCATCATCATTCAACACTTTCACCACACTCGCACATTATCACTGTTTTTGCAGAGGTGCTCAGAATACAACAGTCTAGAAGCATACACATATAAAGATACACAACATATCCCTCCAAACTGCCAATATCCCAAACCCCTCCTTTAAAGTGCAGGCATTGTACTTCCCATTTCCAGGACTCAAGTCCGACTATATGAAAATAACCGGTTTCCCTGAATCCCTTCACTAAATATTACCCTGCTCACACTCCAACAGATCGTCAGGTCCCAAGTACCATTTGTCTCCATTCACTCCTATCTAACACGCTCACGCACGCTTGCTGGAAGTCCAAGCCCCTTGCCCACAAAACCTCCTTTACCCCCTCTCTCCAACCCTTTCGAGGACGACCCCTACCCCGCCTTCCTTCCCCTATAGATTTATATGCTTTCCATGTCATTCTACTTTGATCCATTCTCTCTAAATGACCAAACCACCTCAACAACCCCTCTTCTGCCCTCTGACTAATACTTTTATTAACTCCACACCTTTTCCTAATTTCCACACTCCGAATTTTCTGCATAATATTTACACCACACATTGCCCTTAAACAGGACATCTCCACTGCCTCCAACCGTCTCCTCGCTGCTGCATTTACCACCCAAGCTTCACACCCATATAAGAGTGTTGGTACTACTATACTTAAATACATTCCCTTCTTTGCCTTCCTAGATAACGTTTTTTGACTCCACATATACCTCAACGCACCACTCACCTTTTTTCCCTCATCAATTCTATGATTAACCTCATCCTTCATAAATCCATCCGCCGACACGTCAACTCCCAAGTATCTGAAAACATTCACTTCTTCCATACTCCTCCTCCCCAATTTGATATCCAATTTTTCTTTATCTAAATCATTTGACACCCTCATCACCTTACTCTTTTCTATTTTCACTTTCAACTTTCTACCTTTACACACATTCCCCAACTCATCCGCTAACCTTTGCAATTTTTCTTTAGAATCTCCCATAAGCACAGTATCATCAGCAAAAAGTAACTGTGTCAATTCCCATTTTGAATTTGATTCCCCAAAATTTATTCCCACCCCTCTCCGGAACACCCTAGCATTTACTTCCTTTACAACCCCATCTATAAATATATTAAACAACCATGGTGACATTACACATCCCTGTCTAAGACCTACTTTTACCGGGAAGTATTCTCCCTCTCTTCTACACACCCTAACCTGAGCCTCACTATCCTCATAAAAAAAAAAAAACTCTTTACAGCATTTAATAACTTACCACCTATTCCATATACTTGCAACATCTGCCACATTGCTCCTCTATCCACTCTATCATATGCCTTTTCTAAATCCATAAATGCAATAAAAACTTCCCTACCTTTATCTAAATACTGTTCACATATATGCTTCAATGTAAACACTTGATCTACACATCCCCTACCCACTCTGAAACCTCCTTGCTCATCCGCAGTCCTATATTCTGTCTTACCTCTAATTCTTTCAATTATAACCCTACCGTTCACTTTTCCTGGTATACTCAGTAAGCTTATTCCTCTATAATTTTTACAGTCTCTTTTGTCCCCTTTCCCTTTATATAAAGGGACTATACATGCTCTCCGCCAATCCCTAGGTACCTTCCCCTCTTTCATACATTTATTAAACAAAAGTACCAACCACTCCAACACTATATCCGCCCCTGCTTTTAACATTTCTGTCATGATCCCATCAGTTCCAGCTGCTTTACCCCCTTTCATTCTACGTAATGCCTCACGTACCTCCCCCACACTTACATTCTGCTCTTCTTCACTCCTAAAAGATGGTATACCTCCCTGACCAGTGCATATATATATATATATATATATATATATATATATATATATATAATATATATATATATATATATATATATATATATATATATATATATATATTGTGTGTGTGTACACTAAAATGAGCACTGGGTGATGTACAGACCATGCAGTAAGCTAAACTGTCACTAGCAAGGACTTTTCAGTGAGGTTGCCCTGATGCTTGTGAAGGGTTCTTTATCCAAGGAACTGGAGCTATTCTCTTTCCTTGGATCAGATGTGATTACCTCCTATTTTCTAAGCTTTGTATAGCCCCTACAAGTTTAGTGCTTTCCCATAATAAAATAATGGGAACATATACTCATGTTTATTCTATGTGATTGTATTGAGTATTGTAGTGTGTTATATCACGCAGTGACCACTCGCTACGGGTTTTGTGCTTCCCCATGACTATAATCATAATATATCCGGCAGGTAAGTGTGAGCTACGAGGACCAGGAGCCACTGACACGAGCTAGACTCAGTCAGTCTACTCTCATTGTGGCAGCCAGCGTCAGACTGACCACTGGCACCACCACTACACTCCCTCAGGTACAACACTCAACATGCTGGCACCTCCAGCCATTACTCTTGCAAATTTCAGCGTTTCCAGGTGTTGCTCAGCAACTGCGTTGCCGGATGTATTAGGGCCGATTTTTTTTTTTATAATTGGCTTATTTCTGGTTAAATAAACGTTGTTAAAGGCTGATGTAATCTGACCTAAATTTACTGGAGAATTAATCAAGTGATGTTGGCTCTCACGTATGAAAATGTAATAAAATAGGGATATGTTACCCGGCAGAAATACTTCGATCAAGAAAATGGAGGGATAGATACATGAAGGAGATTGATTGTTATAAATGCTTTGAAATGAAAACTGAAGAAGGCGAATACAAGTCACGCTAATTGGAGTGTGTAGCGTGTATGAGTAGTGAAGAGTATAGTGCATAGGAATACTGAAAGCTGTAGTGTAAATAAGTAGTGGATAGTGTAGCGTATATGAGTAATGGTATAGTGTAATGAGTAGCGGCTGTGAGCTGGTTTAGAATGTTAAAAAACTAATCATCCATGCAATGAATATTAAATGGACTGTTAATGCTGAAAGTACTAAAACCTAGACTCTTGAACAATGCGAGTAATTGAAGTTGTAGCAAGTTATGAAAGTAGATAATGGAGCAGCAGGAAGAGTCGAGGGATCTATAGGAGTTTAGGAAAGGAGTTCCTGTTTGGGAGAGGGTGGTTTACCTATGGAAGGCTTTGGAGAGCTGGATTCCCTAGGAGGTGGGGGCGCAGCAAGCTTGGGGATTGATCCGGTGACCGAGGGGCAGCAAACTTGGGGATCGGTCCGGTGACCGAGGGGCAGCAAGCTTGGGGATTGATCTGGTGATCGAGGGGCAAGGAAGGGGACCTTAGAGAGAACTCGATCCTTCATGAAGGGTGGGGCGCTGAGCTGACGACAAGCAGAAGACCAGTTGTGGGAGGGGTGCCGAGGGGGTAAGAGCAAGAGGTTACCTGGGAGGGGGGATGAGGTCTCAGTAAGATTTGTGCTTGAGACTGTAGTACACCTGTGGGGGCTGGTTCGTGCTAGTAGGAGTGGTGTCAGGCCAGGGGTAGGGTGGCGTCTGTCCTGTGGGAGGAGGGTGATGGTGTCGGTACAGTGAGAGGGGTTGGCATTGAGAGGGGAAGCTGATGTGATGGATATGTTAGGGGTTGAGACAGTGGCCTTGAGAAGAGGGTAACGGATTGCCTGGTACTTAGCTGAAGGCCGATCATTTTTTACCATTATCATTTGATAAACTGCATAAAGAAGATACTTTTTATCCAACACTTGCATACAAGCAGCAAGTCTGGAATTTTCGTACACATGCAGTTTTCTCAAGGACACGACATCCAGCAAGATACGAGCTTTTACATATTTGCACTGATTTTTTCCTCAGGATCCGACTGTCAGTGACCGACTAACAGATACTTATTTTCACTATTACATTAACTGGGGCGACAGGAATTTAAGAAAACCTCTCCATCTGTTATGCCGATTCTGAAAATCGAACCTGAGACATTTCAGTTGTGTGCTGAACGCTTTAATCACCAAGCCAGGGGTAACTTTTACGTTTTGAGGATCAAGGTTTCATTCTGGGGTAGGATTGCGGGCTTGATAATGAAAAAGACCGATGTTATTGAGTGTTGGGAGGCTCTCATGGAGAGGCCAGGAGAACGACAGAAGGGATTTTTTTTTTTTTTTGGCAAGTGGATACATCAACAGTTGACTGCTTCCCTATTATGTGCGATGGTTGCATGGTGGGAACAAAAAACTAAATTTTTTACACATCCATTTTGCAGGCTAAAAGATGTCACCCTGTCTCAGCTCATTTCCAAGCTTACCTGCTTCGTGTTAGGTAAGCAGGGACAGAAGGTGTAAGGAAAGTCCCAACGTCTCCACCCCTGCCATGGATCGAATAACGGACACTCAGTATGTAAATTATATTACTAACCGAGCTATGAGACACATGTATCTATGTTGTCTTGTCATATTCCATCACACAGTGGTTTTCATACCCTGTGTTGAATCTGTCAGTCTGAGCTATGCGACTTCAGTAGAACAGTGAGGGGAGGAGGAGGAGGAGGAGGAGGAGGAGGAGGAGGAGGAGGAGGAGGAGGTGGAGGTGGTGGTGTTTGTTTGTTTGTAGGAAAAGAGCGATGAGGAAGGGGAAGTTAGGTTAAAATCTTTATAATGTGCCCCATGCCCATGTTGTGGATGGTTGTCAAAATATCAGAGGCACGTAATAGGTCCAGGGACTAAGACCCAAAGTTTTGATACCTAAGCAAGTTTTTACCTATGACTTGTTTCGGGAGTTTTCCCACTCCCGCTGCCCAGCTCGGGTTCAGGCTTCCTTCTTGTTTTCTTGGTCGACCAGGCTGTTGGTATTGGCAGCCCGTCGGCCTTCTTAAGTTACAGAGTGGGAACAAAAGCTAGCTATACTTCCCTGTCATATTCCATCACACGGGACAGGTTAATTTAAAACATATAGATTCTGAGAATCACAAACTTTCAAGCTCTATGGTGTCCCTTCAAGGAAGGTGCCTTGATCCTAGGAATTGGAGCTAACCTTTCTTGGATCAAACCTGATTACCTTCTTAAGGAAGCTCTCCACATAGGAGGATAGGCGGTAAAACCAGGAGGGCGGGGTGTTCAGGGTGGGGGCGGGGCTCCATGACCTGTTTACCCGTTGAAGGTTCCGGGATCATTGCTCCCCTGTGGCCCAATCTCAGACCTGACTTTCAGGTTGACTCCCTCCTCAGGCTCCTGGCACTCGCACCATATGCATCCTAATGTCGTCTCCGAAGCTGATCAGGAATGGATTGGACGAGCTCATCAAGTTACCTCTTAAAGAAAGGAGTTTACTGGTAGTTTCCTGATATTTGAAGGGAGGTTTGCTGGAAAGCCTTAGCTTATTGAATTAACTCTTATTATACTCCTCCTTATCATTTTGTTTGCACCATTTGCCTTTTCAATAAGGCAGCCTCTGATTTTATTTTATTGACTATTACTTTCTGAGCCCAATTGAATTGTTTGCATTTTGTGTGCCGTTACACCATTATCACACCTATTGAAAGATTTTGGGATGTCTTTGCTTATTATAACTGCATATTGCACATCTTCCACCTTCTCCAGGTTCATGTAGTTTTCAGCCGCGAGAAGCAGGTTCGTCCTCTTCCAAGCCCATGTAAGCTGTGTCATAAGAAAAATGATTCATCTAGAGCAGTGGTTCCCAAACTTTTTCAGCTTGTTACCCAATTTAACATGCCACATAAAGCATGTTACCCCTTTCACAAAATGTTGTTATTATTGATATATATGGCTAAACGTGAACGTATACAGCCTCGCATACTCTGCTAATCCTAGCAAAACCATTGAAAACGTAAGAACCACACATACATTATATATAAAATTAATAATAGCTACAAATTCACAGTAACAGTGGGTCAATACTAACTATATACTGCACAGGGCAGTACACATACATACCAGCTTATGTCTACCTCGGCTGATGCTCACAGATAAACTGACAGTGTGAAATAGAGGCAGCCTCAGGAAGTGAGTGACGCGTACTGGACAGGTCGATCTGGGCTACTGAGTGACTTTTGTCCTGAAGCATACTTGTCAAAATACTTTTGGGTTTCCACACACTTAGCTATATATTTCTTCTTTTCTAATACTGTATATTAGTTTTTGATGTTTATTGTTATTTGGTTTAACTTTATTACTTATAATAGGTTTACTTTACAACTTTATATACTAAGACAAAGTTAACAATAATCCTCATACCGGGTACCGCATTGATTTCTTGATTTTCAGAATTCATAACTTTTTTTCTGTCACCCCTCCATTACCCCCCAAAAATGATTAAATTACCCCCAGGGGGTAATTTACCCCCAGTTTGGGAACCACTGATCTAGAGACTAAAGTCAGTACTGTATAATACTAGTTAATATTGATTATTATTTTTTTACTATTAATTTATTACACTTTTTTCCTCCTTTTCCCCCCTCTTTCACTCTGCCTCTCATTCAGCGTGATTTGTTCCACTCTCTGACTACATTATTGGTAAACTATCTGCAGAACTTTCTTATGCATTTTTACTAGATCGTGGTGGGGCCACAAGAGGAGTTGGGGCTCAAGGAGCGACTTCAGGAACAGTGGTTCAGTACCAACTTGACCAGAGGCGACATGATTCCTCTCCTCCAGACATTCACTCACCAGTCTGCCTTCGCCAGATACAGGAAGGACGGCATCCTGCAGTAAGTGCCATTACTCTGTCATGCCAGATACGGGAAGTACTAAGGTGGATAGCAACTTACTTCTAAGAGGTTATATATGGCCTCTAAGACGCAAGTGAGTTACGAGGGTGTTAGAGATTGTTTTTCAGTTTCAGGATAGCGAGTAAGTGTAACTAATTAGACAAAGATGTGGTGACGGAAAACTACGAACGCAGAGTTTGCCTCCACCACTAATATTAGTCTGGCCCTGGAGACCAGACATTAACAAAATTAGTCAGCAGTAGCTAAGAGGTGGGTAAGGAACTAATGACTCGACATCCACAAATAAAACAGAGTAGACATACACGTATACAAACCAATTTGCTCATAAACACACAAATAGGAAGTTAGTAACATAAAAAATTGTAACACTGGATATTCCAAATTTTAAGCTTCGAGGAAACAGGGATCAAAAGCAGTGAGAATAACCATAACTAATACTAAAGCGATAGTAAATATCCCTTCAACTAACAGCAGAACACCGAAACAGGATACTATTATTATATGTGAAGCTTAGAACCTGTGTCATTCAGTGCAAAGCATGGTGGATGCTCGATCCTTAGGTTCCTAAGAGCAAAATACTGCTTTACTCACTCAGTTTGAGTTCATAAAAGCAGGGCTTGAACTCCCTCTGGAGGGAGGGGGATGTTACAGTTCGAGCTGGGGAAAGACATGTCTTGAATTATATCTGTGCACCTTTGCCTAGACAGCTGTAGAATGTATGATGATGAAAGTTTCCTTTTCTGAATCACCTTTCTTTGGTAGACGACAGCCGGTGTGGCAAGAAATAAACAGTAAGAGGAGCAGTAGTAACCACTACAGTAAATGACAGAGGAGAACCCACTGAGCTACTGCAAAGCTACTGGTCATAGGAGGCTAATTACATGGTTAAAGTTAAGTATGAAAAAGATTAAAGAAAGTTAACTCTTCAGTGAAGAACAAAAAGGAACAATACCGTGACTGGAATACACAAATAACCAGCACATACGAGAGAAGCTTACGACGACGTTTCGGGTCATTAGTGTATTAACCTTCGAGTATAAATCTGAGGACTTGATAGTCCTCAGATTTATATTGGCTTGTTTCTGGTCATCTTTCAATAAGTGACCAGGAACAAGCTCAAGACAAATAAATCATAAGGACTTCAGGAGGGTGGTTTGAAAGAGGAACAATGGTGGATGCGGATTTAAAAATAAAAGTATATTAGGGCCCATGAAACTAGGAATTTAGAAGCGGAGACAATAATCGTAGCTCCTGATAGTGTTGCTCTGACCCTTGCAGGTTCACGTTGGACATTCCTGAGGGAGCAGAAGAGCTGGAGGTGACGGCAACGTACAGGGACTCTGTCAGTACATCGTCGGCCAAGGTAAGGGGAGTGCCGGTCCACTCACCCAAGGGCCGCTACCTTCACCTCACCACCAGTACTGACACCGCCACTGTTGGAGAATTCGCTATTTTTCAAGTCAGGGCCAATTTCCGTATGGACAAGTTCCAGTATATGGTGAGTGGTGATTAATTTGTGCATTAATAAGCAGCGATTGCACAATGTGAATGGATGTTGTGTACTAGTGAGTGGTAGTTGTTTTTTTGCAACATTGTGTGGTGATTGTTTTTTGCTAGTGAGTGGTGGTGATTTTGTTGTGATTGGTGGTGATTTGGTGCTAGGAAGTGGGAGGAGAGTGTGTGTAATAGTGAGTGACTGGTGATTATTTTGTGACCTAGTGATTGATGGTTTGGATTATATGTAACCTAGTGAGATGTGGTGTGACCTAATTTGTTTGATTTTAGTTTCTTCAGGCCATTATCATATGAAGTTACTACAGTATACATAAACAATTTATGTATGTTTAAATCGTATTTCGTTAAATACTATATAAATATAAATATACAAAAACTGATGTGTTATGATCATCCCTGCAATTTATCGAAACGATTTATATTCATGGTTTATGGTGTAACCTAGTAAGCGTTATTTATATTTTGTGATCTTAAAGATCTGGAGAGGATGGAACAAAATAGAATGACTTGGAGGGCATATAAAGCTGTAGTGGAAGGAAGGCTGGGTAGGGGTCGGCCTAGGAAATGTTGGAGGGAGGGGGTAAAGGAGGTTATTGTGTTCGAGGGGCTTGTACTTCCAGCAAGCGTGCGTCAACGTGGTAGATAGGAGCAAGTGGAGACGAATGATTTTTATGACTTGACGGGCAACATGTTGGAGTGTGAGCAAAGTAACATTTATGAAGGGATTCAGGGAAACCGGTTAGCCAGATTTGAGTCCTGGAGGTGGTGCTCATTTGAGGGGTGTTGATATGTTTCAGTTTTATAACTAGTATAGGCAAGACAATAATGGAGTGAATGATGATGAAAGTGTTTCTTCTTTTTCGGGTCATCCTACCTCGGTGGGAAATGGCCGATGTGTTAATAAAAAAATATTTTGACAGTTTTCAACTCTTGACGATGTAGAAAGTTAAGGTTGTAAACATTGCTGCATCCTGTGTCACCTTGAAGGATGCACGGGTCCTCAGAGGCTCAAAGAATGTAATTCAACCCATTGGGAGTAAATACCTTCATATATTCATGTTCAGTTACTTAAAATATGTCTCAAGGTCCTAGAGATTTTTCCTGATATTTTATTAAAGCCATTTTTTTGTTTTCCTTAATTTAGCTGAACTGACTCATGTCTTGTGTACATTTAGGCTGATACTATATTATAGCCACAAAAAATGCTAACCCAAATAGTTAAGGAATGTCTGCAATCAGGTCGCAGTATAACACCTGTTATATCGATGTAGTGTTATGTATTGCCTGTCCCTTGTCCCGTTTAATACTAATATATGGAAATACCACGCCTCTATAAGGAGAGGATTCCTCTATACTGAAGAGGTGTGTCTATACACTTTCAAACAAATAACGAGCTGTACGAATACTGTGGAATTTAACGTTGTATGATGCCTCGTGTGACAGGTGATGGCTAAGGGTGTGTTAGTGCACTCATCCACGGAGGAGGTTTGGTGGGCGGGGACTGAGGGTGTCACCACCTTGAGTGTAGCAGTGTCCAGGGAGATGGCTCCTCGCTTTACACTTATCGTCCTCCATGTGGCCCCAGATGCTGAGGTCCTCGTCGACACTATTCACGTCTCTGTCAGTCTTCAGCACTCCATGAAGGTTAGTCACCAGACTACTATGGACGCAGATCTTATATCTCGTCAACATAACTCTCATGAACTACATCAAAATAAATCATCAGTGTTACGGCTCCGTGATTGCTTCCCAGGTCCAGATCAGCAATGATCACCTGGTTTTCTCATTTTGACTGCATTTACGTCCGGTGCAGAATGGTTTTTTTTGTTTTACAATGCTACAAGGAATGAGTTGTCGAATTGTCAACATTGTGTCCTGATCACTAGTCAAACTGGGGTTTCCTCAGTTCACTGATAAATACTCACTATATATATATATATATATATATATATATATATATATATATATATATATATATATATATATTATATATATATATATATATATATATATATATTGTCGTGCCGAATATGTAAAACTGGCCAATTAGCAAGAACTCATTTAAAATTAAGTCCTTTCTGAAATTTTCTCTTATACGTTTAAAGCGTGTATGCACCTGGAGAAGAGAGAAGTGTAGAGGAGAGAGAGATTCTGGGAAATGTTGAGTGAATGCGTGGGGAGTTTTGAATCAAGTGTGAGAGTAATGGTGGTTGGGGATTTCAATGCTAAAGTGGGTAAAAATGTTATGGAGGGAGTAGTAGGTAAATTTGGGGTGCCAGGGGTAAATGTAAATGGGGAGCCTTTAATTGAGCTATGTGTAGAAAGAAATTTGGTAATAAGTAATACATATTTTATGAAAAAGAGGATAAATAAATATACAAGGTATGATGTAGCACGTAATGAAAGTAGTTTGTTAGATTATGTATTGGTGGATAAAAGGTTGATGGGTAGGCTCCAGGATGTACATGTTTATAGAGGGGCAACTGATATATCGGATCATTATTTAGTTGTAGCTACAGTTAGAGTAAGAGGTAGATGGGAAAAGAGGAAGGTGGCAACAACAAGTAAGAGGGAGGTGAAAGTGTATAAACTAAGGGAGGAGGAAGTTCGGGCGAGATATAAGCGACTATTGGCAGAAAGGTGGGCTAGTGCAAAGATGAGTAGTGGGGGGCTTGAAGAGGGTTGGAATAGTTTTAAAAATGCAGTATTAGAATGTGGGGCAGAAGTTTGTGGTTATAGGAGGGTGGGGGCAGGAGGAAAGAGGAGTGATTGGTGGAATGATGAAGTAAAGGGTGTGATAAAAGAGAAAAAGGTTATAAGAAGAGCAGAGTATATGGAGAGTAAAAGAAAGGTGAAGAGAGTGGTGAGAGAGTGCAAAAGGAGATCAGATGAAAGAGTGGGAGAGGCACTGTCAAGAAATTTTAATGAAAATAAGAAAAAATTTTAGAGTTGAGTTAAACAAGTTAAGAAAGCCTAGGGAAAGTATGGATTTGTCAGTTAAAAACAGAGTAGGGGAGTTAGTAGATGGGGAGAGGGAGGTATTAGGTAGATGGCGAGAATATTTTGAGGAACTTTTAAATGTTGAGTAAGAAAGGGAGGCGGTAATTTCATGCACTGGCCAGGGAGGTATACCATTTTTAGGAGTGAAGAAGAGCAGAATGTAAGTGTGGTGGAGGTACGTGAGGCATTACGTAGAATGAAAGGGGGTAAAGCAGCTGGAACTGATGGGATCATGACAGAAATGTTAAAAGCAGTGGGGGATATAGTGTTGGAGTGGTTGGTACTTTTGTTTAATAAATGTATGAAAGAGGGGAAGGTACCTAGGGATTGGCGGAGAGCATGTATAGTCCCTTTATATAAAGGGAAGGGGGACAAAAGAGATTGTAAAAATTATAGAGGAATAAGTTTACTGAATATACCAGGAAAAGTATACGGTAGGGTTATAATTGAAAGAATTAGAGGTAAGACAGAATGTAGGATTGCGGATGAGCAAGGAGGCTTCAGAGTGGGTAGGGGATGTGTAGTTCAAGTGTTTACATTGAAGCATATATGTGAACAGTATTTAGATAAAGGTAGGGAAGTTTTTATTACATTTATGGATTTAGAAAAGGCATATGATAGTGGATAGAGGAGCAATGTGGCGGATGTTGCAAGTATATGGAATAGGTGGTAAGTTACTAAATGCTGTAAAGAGCTTTTATGAGGATAGTGAGGCTCAGGTTAGGGTGTGTAGAAGAGAGGGAGAATACTTCCCGGTAAAAGTAGGTCTTAGACAGGGATGTGTAATGTCACCATGGCTGTTTAATATATTTATAGATGGGGTTGTAAAAGAAGTAAATGCTAGGGTGTTCGGGAGAGGGGTGGGATTAAATTATGGGGAATCAAATTCAAAATGGGAATTGACATAGTTACTTTTTGCTGATGATACTGTGCTTATGGGAGATTCTAAAGAAAAATTGCAAAGGTTAGTGGATGAGTCTGAGAATGTGTGTAAAGGTAGAAAGTTGAAAGTGAACATAGAAAAGAGTAAGGTGATGAGGGTATCAAATGATTTAGATAAAGAAAAATTGGATATCAAATTGGGGAGGAGGAGTATGGAAGAAGTGAATGTTTTCAGATACTTGGGAGTTGACGTGTCGGCGGATGGATTTATGAAGGATGAGGTTAATCATAGAATTGATGAGGGAAAAAAGGTGAGTGGTGCGTTGAGTTATATGTGGAGTCAAAAAACGTTATCTATGGAGGCAAAGAAGGGAATGTATGAAAGTATAGTAGTACCAACACACTTATATGGATGTGAAGCTTGGGTGGTAAATGCAGCAGCGAGGAGACGGTTGGAGGCAGTGGAGATGTCCTGTCTAAGGGCAATGTGTGGTGTAAATATTATGCAGAAAATTCGGAGTGTGGAAATTAGGAGAAGGTGTGAAGTTAATAAAAGCATTAGTCAGAGGGCAGAAGAGGGGTTGTTGAGGTGGTTTGGTCATTTAGAGAGAATGGATCAAAGTAGAATGACATAGAAAGCACATAAATCTATAGGGGAAGGAAGGAGGGGTAGGGGTCGTCCTCGAAAGGGTTGGAAAGAGGGGGTAAAGGAGGTTTTTGTGGGCGAGGGGCTTGGACTTCCAGCAAGCGTGCATGAGCGTGTTAGATAGGAGTGAATGGAGACGAATGATACTTGGGACCTGACGATCTGTTGGAGTGTGAGCAGGGTAATATTTAGTGAAGGGATTCAGGGAAACCGGTTATTTTCATATAGTCGGACTTGAGTCCTGGAAATGGGAAGTACAATGCCTGCACTTTAAAGGAGGGGTTTGGGATATTGGCAGTTTGGAGGGATATGTTGTGTATCTTTATATGTGTATGCTTCTAAACTGTTGTATTCTAAGCACCTCTGCAAAAGCAGTGATAATGTGTGAGTGTGGTGAAAGTATTGAATGATGATGAAAGTATTTTCTTTCTTTTTTGGGTCACCCTGCCTCGGTGGGAGACGGCCGACTTGTTGAAAAAAAAAAAAGTTTAAAGATATATTTTTTCAGTAATGTTAATGTAAATTTTTTTTAATTTTGCACCAAAAGAATCTTAGAAAACTTACCTAACCTTATTATAATAAGAAAAATTTATTTTAGCATAACCCAACTAAATATATTTTAGATTTGTTTACAGTAATTTAATACTAAACAAACCCAGTGAAATACTACTGGGATGTGATTTTTTCCTCGATTTTTTTTATATGAAAAAAAAATATTTTGAGTTTCTCTCAATTTCATCAAAGGCTTCTTTGTTCCATCTTTCTCACCTGGAGATCAGCAATTCATCAAGAAATGTCAACACTAAATTTACTCCCAAACCTACGGGGATACAAGGGATATCCAACATGGGATACTCATTTTTGGTTACTTATAAATATATATTGACATCATTAGATAATATTTATTATAGCAACCCATCAATTACAAATAGATCGATAATATGAGTTTGTCATGAATATGAAGCTTCTAATATTTCACCAAATGTTGATTACTATGTCCTATGTAGCAAGTTAACAACTCACTTTACATGAAAGTATCCTATATAATCTATTTATTATAAATGCTATAATAAATTTATTTGGATATTCACTGGAGAGTACACTTTAAATAATTTTACAGAATTTTATATATTTTATTTTTAGGTAAATATGTGTTGCAGTTGCTTTTGCCAGCATTTGCACTAGCATATTGTGTGATTGATAGCGTGCTGCAATAAGTAATAGGAATAGAGGGAGGTGAGCCTTACGTTTATTGGAGGAAGAGATACACAATGTTTGGCGCTAGCCCACGCCAGGCCGTAGGCCGGCGAAAGTGAACTAATATGACTTTCGACCTGTCCTGCGTCTGTATCAGTGAGTGAGAGTGAAATAGCATGCACTGTGTTGAGCTCTAGTCTGAACCATGTCTGCTGCATGACAGCATAGCTCCAATACAAGCAAGCCGCAAAATATGAAGGCCTAGCTGGATATATATATATATATATATATATATATATATATATATATATATATATATATATATATATATATAATATATATATATATATATTATATCTGTTGGAAATTCTACGGTAGTAAGTAACATCTAACAGAGTTGGTATTTACTTTTTTAGTTTAGTTACACATATTTTAGTCACAAAAGTAAGAATACTACTAGGATTCACCTATATGCTGTACTTTAATAACGTTATTTGCACGTAGGAAGTGTTTAACTATAATTTAGAAAATTTTCAAACTTGCACCTCTGAAAGTAGAGAAAGGAGGCAGAACGTGGAATTGCTTTTGGTGAGTAGTGAAGCGTAGGCACGTTAGATTTGTTAAACCTAATGCAATATGTTTTTAACTACACCATTTCAAATACTCTTAAGTGGTAAAGGAACATATGTATATATGAATAATACCTTGGTGAAACTACTATTGGGAGCTGTCCACAGATAACCAGGAGTGACCACATGATCTTCTCCTGGAGGCACGAAGTCAACCATTAACCATGGTAAGTAAAGATGAACTATGTAAACAACAGTATTAATACAGATATTTGTTTGGTGATTAATAATTTTCTACAGCTTCATTGGGATAAGTATTATATCCTATTATTATCCTATTATAAAAAATATATTGAGATTCTCTTCTCATAAACCAATTTGTTGCAGATACCAAAGCACTGATGAGACTTGACTTTCCTTTCACTGAGGTTATTGTGAATTTCCGAACAGTGAGATATTCAAGGAGTGGCAGTCATTCCTACACAACAAGTAAGAAAAATAAATTTCTTGTTACATGGGATATTAATACTTCCAGAATATAATTTTTTCCCAACAAGGAAACAGGTACCTTCAAAAGTATTATATAGCAATTAAATAATATATAGCAATTAAATATATATTTCTCACATTAACCTGGCCTTACGAGCTAGTAAATAAATAATTTCTTGTATCATGTTGGAACTTCGAGTTGGATAAGAAATGAATATTTCTCAGAGAAGCCATCGTTCATCTCTAATTTCATTTGTTCAACTTATCTAAATTCTCCTGTACAATTTTACAGTCATCCTATTAATATATATTTTTTTACATTATCTTCAGATATATTCAAATAGTTATTTATTCCTTCATATATGAAGGTTAAATCATCAAGGTGAGCAGTGATCCTTGTGGGATCCCATATATCATGTTACACTATAAAGACACTTTGTTACATCTTACCACGGTATATTTCTCAAAAAGTTTATCATCCTGTAAAATAATTTACCATTTATACTCATATTTTGCAATTTCAAAATTGTTTTTCTTTCATGAGCTAATCAATCAATCAAGGACTCACAGGTAAGGACCCACGAGGGGCGAGGGGCAAGTGGGGACAGTGCGAAGAATAGACGGTGAGAGGAATGTCTTGAGTCGAAGAGAGAAGAGTCAGGACTAGACCCAACTGCTAAGCCTGGCTAAACAATAACGAAGACGACATAGAAGACAGCAGGAACTCTGCGGGTGCTGACTGCAACTTGCTGGACGGAAGATTGCTGCATCTTGATGTTGATTGGCGGCTGGCAGAAGCTGGAGTGTAGTAAGGAGGCTAGCTTCTTGATTGGTCAGGTGTCGTTAAATTGTGAGTCAGAAGTTACTTCAGTTCTTCAGTGTTGGAGGCATTCCTTATGTTGTGCAGTTGTTGGAAGGAAACGATGAGTAGTCTTGTAATCTTGGGTCGAAATGCTGGGTCGGCTTGTAACTGGTCAAGGGTCATCTTGAGTGTAGTGTAGGAGCAGTGGGATCCTTTACGATTTGTAAACTTGACTGTTCTGTCGTGTATTTTCTCGTACAAAGTGTCGACATTCATCGTGGATTCTTGGTCAGGAGTCGTATAAAAAGTTATATCTTTCCAGTGCAGGTATTGATCTCGATGTTGGTCTTCTGTATTAATACGTCGAGTGATGGCTGGAGAGGTTTTTGTTGGTGGTTGCAGCATTGAAGATTCTTTCAATGTTGGTGTCTCTGCTAGAGAGTGTGTAGAAGACTGTGGTAGAATCGTGGCTTCTGATTGGTCCATATGAGTAGTGGTGAGTGGAAGTGAAGGAGGTACGCCGCCACGACGAGCCAATCGACGAGTAGGAGGTGATCGACGAATAGGAGGCGTAGTGCTGACTTGGATGATATCAGGTGAACGTTGATTGGAGGATTCAAAATAGGATGCGTCGTCTTTGTCAATTATTAATTCCTTCAAGTCATCTGGCGCTTCAAAACTGACGATCTTTGGGATTATTTTCAAAATTTCAGCTGATGGTGGACTTGCAGGGAAGTTAAATGATGGCATGTTGTTGAGTGCAAGAAGTTCATTGATAGTCGTGTTGAAAGAGCCAGGTTTTGCAGCATTTTGCATGTGGGCAAACATCATGCAGTAATAAAATTTGGTGGAAATATCATCAGGTGGAGGTTGGGTAGTGAGAGGTGGTGGAGACGACTGTTGAGTAGCTTGTAGAATCTTGGATGTTGTAGATTGAATCTTGGCAATTGCAGCGTATGTAGGAGAGGTTCCAGATGACCTCTTTGTTTCTTCCTTCAGTTTCTTAGAAAGGATATCCTTTCGCACTGGACACTTGGCTGCAAGAGTATGGTGATCACTCTTACAGTTGATGCAAGTGGGAGCAGCAGTGGAAGTGCAAGAACGAAAATCGTTGTCCTGCAGAACCACAGGTGGAACATATCTTATTCTTCACGTGGCAGTCGGCAGTAGAGTGACTGTACGAGTAACATGTCCAGCAAGGTGTTATGTACGTGAAACGTTCAGGTTCAATCTGTCGAGGGTTGATATAGTAATAAGAGATGGCCAGGCCATCAGACAGTGCTCTGGTCGCCATGGTAACGTCCAGGAATGTGACCTTGAGCATTGAGGAAGCGTTGGGAATCTTCACTACAGTGTCAATCTTGGCCCAGGTGTTGAGGTCTTCAAGTGATGTAGTAATTTCCTGGATTGTCATGTTCATGATCAGCTTGTCAAGACGTTTCATAAACACTGAACGTTTTGCAAGCATGTATGGTGACGTAGAGATGGTAAAGCCTCGGTCTTCTAAGGTCTTCATGGCAGTAGGTGTAAGCACCTTGTCAGCTTCAGTATCATCGAGAAAAGTGACGATGATAGCTCCCTTCAGTGACGTGATCTTGGAGAACTTTGCGTGCAGACAAGTGTTGAGAGAAGCTGCAAGCTCAAGCTTCGTGGCGTCATCGACGACAGCAGACTTGGGCTTAATTCTCACGATGAGACATCGTGGAGATGGTAGAGGTTCCCCTCCCCAACGGGGATCGTAGGGATACTGTGCAAGTAAGGAGAGCTGCTATGACCTGCCAGGGCGAGAGTCAACAGCAGAATCCTCTCTTTTCATGAGCTATAGAAACTATTACATTCTTGTATACTTTATATAACTATGTTAATGCATACGCAGAATTTATGTTATAAAGCCAGACTGCTGCTTATTACTTAGAAATTTTTGCCCTTCGGATGTTTTTTTTCTATTGAGTTTGATGGCCTTATCATTTTTTCTATATAGTGATACAGTATTTGTCATCTTTCATTTATCTACTAATTTCCTTTTTTATAATAGTCTCGCATATTCTAAAATGGATAAATTAATTATGGACATTCTTTAAAAACCCTCTGTGATATCTCGCCTGGCCCTGCTATTAATGTTTATAGAGGAATGTTTTGGGGAAGAAAATATTGTTGGAATCTGTGAAAAATAAAGTTCTCTGACAATGTGCTCGTAAGTAAGTTTGAAGGTTAGGAAAATTCTAAATTAATTTTTAAGCAGAAACATAAAAACTTACTGGTCATTTATATATAAAAATATGGTTATAAATGACCATAATTTTTAAAGGGGTGGACCGGTAAGCCAGCGGAAGGCCTCGGTCAGATGACCAAAGCTCCAAAGGCGGGTCATCTGATTAAGACCCGCGTCAGTAAACATTTATCCTGTTTACTGACGAACCTTACCTAACCTGGTCATTTTGCACATATACCCCCCCCCCCCAAAAAAAAAAAAATGTTTTATAATCTGCTGGATTTTTGGTTTTAGAGTATGGTATCCAGTGTCAAATGTCATGTAATACTCTTATTATGTGTAGTATATGGCATTTAACTCACTGACTGTTGTATCTTTAAACATGAAATTTGTTTCTGTTTATTTTCAGGCAATATCTCTGAAGCTTCTTTCATATCCATTTAATACCATTACATGTAATATTTTGTTCTTCAAAGAATGTGCTATTATTTCTGCCAGGTGTCAAGTAACCTTTATTATCTCTTAAGTTCCTCTGAGGTAATTTCAGTAGGAGTTCATTTATTTCATTTGTCTGTTGTTTAGTTAAATTACTGGAACCTCCTGAATTTACAATTTTAATTCATATATTTGTATTAACTAAAAATTGTATATACCGATATATACTTAGATGTATTGATATTTTTTCTTTTCTACAAATGAAGACTGTGTACTTGATTCTAGGGAAATTAACAATTACAAAATCGTGTAGATAATAGTCTTCGAATAGAAATTAATCTGTAAATAAAAAATATTAGATAATACACTTTCAAATTAATATATAAATTATAATTTATTATTTTATTTATAACAAAATTTAATACTAATATAGGATTTTATGAAAGTGAGTTGTTAACATTGTATCTGATATGTGCTAATTATCTGGTGAACTATTATTATTAATTTCACAGATGACAAACGCACACATGTTGTCGATCTATTTGTAAATGATTGGTTACCTAATGAATATCATGTAATGAACTTTTATGTAATTTCAATAAAAATTATCATGGAACATCCGAACCTTGTCTACTGAGTGTTAACAGAGTTCTGGGAGGAACCAAACCATTATTCCATGCGTACATATCTGTATGTTTTGGGAAAACTCTAGTGTTGACATCTTTGGGCAAATTGCTAATTTCCCCATTCTGGGTCTTGTCACATACCCTCGTCCATGTAGTACATATGCTCACGTTCTACCATTTTTACAACAAATGCCACATTTGCCTTCCTCTTATCAATATATTCTGGTATCGGAGTGAATAACGACAGCTGGAAATCTAAGCGAATTGTGTTCGATCCTGACATGAATAATTTTTTTTAGTTAGGTTAAACAGTTTGGATGTTTCTCTCTACAATGTTTAGTTAAGGCAACTTTCTCTGTTTAAGATGTGCAGCAATGCTGCCATTTGTTGTGGAGAATGTCTAACACGGTAAAAATGATGGTGTTACCATCTTTAGGTAGCACTCGACACTATGAATGTTGAGGATAGTACCAAGAGATAGAATTCATCATTGGCAGGTATAGTATGTTTAATATAAAGGATGGTTTGTGGGTAGGTATTTGAAGGGAAGTTCTGAATAGTAGGAAGACACAAAAACTGAAATTTTTACATTACCGTGAAGGTAACTTGTGTAAACAATGAATTACGTATTTCCCCCCTGGCGGCAAGGGTGGCGCTTTGGTTAAATGACGCCACAACCGTACAACATATGACATTAAGTTCTCGGTGTTATAAAATATTAGAAATAAAAGTTTTTGGTATTAAGGCCAAGCGAGACCATTCTGGAGGACGACCCACAGGTGGAGGTAGTGCTGAATCAACATAAGGACCACTCCAAGAGGACGGTGGAGGCGACGATGTGGGCGCCCCCAGGCTCCCTGATAGCTCTCTCCTGCGCCCGTACGCCCACTTGGCGCAAGCAGCAGCACAATCGCATTACCCACACCCGCCTTCTGAAGGCGGCGCTACATATGGAACCCCACCCGAGGTTAGTCTCTAGTCATTGTTTGTGCCATAAACTTTCCTTTCCAAATAACTGCGATTCAATGATTAAATAAAATTGACCTGGCGTGACCTATAAAATTTCGTGCCATAATTTCCCCCCCTAAGCATGTGTCATGGACTTCCCTAAATGTCACTAGTATCAGTGCAACTGTGATGTGATGATGTGGTTATGTTTGTCAGGTCAGTACACACTGTAACCAGGGCGTCACGAAGCGGTGCCTGGACGGAGCACCTGGCTGCTCTCTCCGCCCATAACACCGGCTGGTGGAGCCTGGCATCCCTACACCTGGCTGGCCTCACAGTCCTCACCGACGCGATCCTCTTAGCCCCGCCCAATACAGGTAGGCCCTCTTGACTTGTCTACTTCTCACTCATGCCTCTGATGACTCGCCTGTCTTTATTTATTTATTTATTTATTTATTTATTTATTTATTTATTTATTTGAACATGATACAGTGAAGTACAAAGGAATACAGGTATTACAGTGCAACATACCAAAGCCCCTAGTATGCAGAGCATTATGGGCAGGCTTAAAATTAACTTAAGATTAACTAAGCAGTGATATAGTATTCAGTGGTAAAAACATTATTATAAACAGATAACAATTTAGCACAAATGAGTATTACAAAGACAGGTCATACTGTCATTTACTGTGTTGCTGAGCATTCCGTAGAATGGAGTATTATGTTAGGTAATGTAACTAAAAAATAAAGTTTGATTGGGTCACAGGTTAGACATTTAAAAATTGTATAATTATAAAACATTTGTTTTGCATATCTGCAAACGGAGTCAGAACTTCAAAACGATGTGTATATTTTTTTTTTTCGTTTTCACGACTTATGGAATTTGTACACGAAAAAGAGTGACTTAATTATATACTGTTTGATTAAAATTTTGACTTTTGACTGAGTTGCATATAACAGACAGAATTAGGAAATTGCAAAATTAAGCATAAAATGTTGCAATAAATGGAATTTTTAATGTTTGGACAAGAATAATATAGCGATTAAAGTGGTTTTCATGGAGGTGCAGTCACTACGAGTACCACAGTGATCTTTACTGGTCCTGCTGTTCTGAGATATTTCGTTTATCATGAGAAACAGTAAAAAAAGTCTTGACGCCGGTCTTGGTCGTATGACGACTTGCTTAGTAAAGGTTTTGATTATTTGACAGGTCTTCCACTAGCTTACCGATCCACTCCGTAAAATATTTATCACTTATAAGATGTGATATTAAAGTTGCTGTATATTACAAATAGGCATTTCACACACACACGTTGAGGTATACTCTCCCATTTCCTCATAGAAATACACATATCTATAGCATTTTTTTCAAGACAGTATAAATCTGAAGAATTATTTCCAGTATCATGTAGACATCTAAAGTGGCGTGTGTACCGCAGGAGAGTGTGATCACCAGCTGGGCTTCCTTGAGTGCGGGGATGGCTCTTGTTACCGTCAGTCTGAGGTGTGTGACGGACGCATCCAGTGTGCCAACGCTGCTGACGAACTACACTGTATGTTACCTTTGCTCTAAATTCGCTTCACAGTCCCTTTTTCATATTATTATTATTTATAAGGCCTGTCTATTAGATAAGGGTTATTTAAGTTGCAGTTCACCTGAAAACTAACCAGATGGTTACTTTAATCCCAAAAATAAAAAATAAAGTAAACGTGTTTTTTTATATACACTGAGGTACAATAATGGTATACAGGTAAATAAGCAGGACACACATGCAACAGTTAGGTATCTTATTCCGAAAAGTTTCGCCTACACAATAGACTTCTTCAGTCAAACATAGAGGCAGTGGAGGTATAAAGTTGATGTAATCAGCCCATCACCCTCAAAATAGTACGTTTGAGGGACCAACCACCTCAAAACTACTTCGAGGGTGATGAACCGATTACATCATCTTTACAGCTACACAGCTTATGGCTGTCTATTCGACTGAAGAAGCCTACTGTGTAGGCGAAACGTTTCAGAATAAAAATACCTAATTGTTGCATATGTGTCTTATTTATCTACACTGAGAAGCATTGATACAGTCTTTTTAGTGTCTCCATGGAGGACTTTGTCTAAATTCTATAAAGTATTTATTAATATTTTTTTCAAATATAATTAACTCGGTAACGTCGCATTTCAGTTAGTCAGCATATAATTAAGTTAAAATTAATTGTTAGTGTTCTAGGTAAGGCACACTTATTACAAATAATTTCCTTGCACACGCAGGTTTGTCAGTGTCTCGAGATCAGGAGCAAACAAATGACGAGGTCTTCAGTACAAATGGTATGAAAATTTTCTTCTTACAAACATTTGATGATTTTTAAGCTATTTATTATGTCAGGTTATGTTTTTACTACCTCTGTACAGTTACCAAACACAAAACCTATCAGTATTTTGCTAAAATAATATTAATGCTAACTTCCAGTTGTAATAGGTTACTTAGACGCACGATTATATCGTCATTGATTCTGTGGCCCCACTATACTAGGCTATCCAAAAATATGGTATATCCATGTAAGAACAACTCCAGACCTGCTAAAAAATGGTTATTATAACCATAATTTTTAAAGGGGTGGACCGGGAAGCCAGCGGAAGACCTCGGTCAGATGACCAAAAGCTTCAGTGGTGGGTCATCGTAACAGAGACCCGCGCCAGGAAACACTTGTCCTGTTACCTGACAAACCTAACCTGCTAGAGCTATTGTGCACATAAAGAAATGTTAAACGGTGTCATGACCTATCTGAAATCTCCAAGTTCAGAAGAATGTGAAAAAAACAAAGTTTTTTTTCACATTCTTCTGAACTTGGTTAACAGAAATGTGAAGCCAAGACAGCAGTGCCTAAATGTGCACAATAGGGTTAATAGATTACTTTGATTTATATCAAGAAGCATAAGTAACAGAGGCTATTTTACAGCTCTGTGCATCATTAGTAATTTCTCAGTTTATGCAGTTCAGTTTTGGTCTCCATGCTACAGAATGGATATACATAAATTCATTTGAGAACATATAGAGAAGGATGACAAAATTAATTCAAGTATAAGGAATAACTCATACGTGGATAGACTGAAAGCTTTAAACATTCACTCACTCGAAAGACGTAGAATTAAGGGAAGATATTAACGTACATATAAGTCGTACTCTGCAGCCAAACCACATTCAGCATTGTGACCGCATGGACTCGTGGTTTAATTAGTCCTGAATCTTCCATGCTCTGAAACACTTCCCTTAATTTGTTTTCCTTAAAACTTCGATAATTTTAAGCATATGTAGAAGGAAAATAGATTCCTTCTGCGTCAGTATTTTAGGAAAAGTGTATTAAGTGTGCATGTTTGGTGGACAGAATTGATGGAGGTGGAGTACAGACTGAAACAGAGGAGCTGGTGGAGGGACCTCTTCGACCAGCAGGAAGGCAGCTGGTGCCTCATCAATCGACACTTCGGTCAGTACACAACGCGCTTCACTGTCCACTAGTGAGTACTTGCTCGCACATACTAACAGAGAGTTCGTCTAGTATGTGCTACTCACTTAATAAGTTTTTAGATAATGTAGCCATCACATGCACACTTCCTATAACAACACTTGAAGTCACATCACTTGTAAGTTAAGTGGAGGAGTTTTAGTACCTTATGTACTCAATGTCCCTAACAATATGTACTGCTCTTTTCATGTACGTACTATGTGCAGTTTCCTTGTCATGTTGACCGTCTGTTCTCTAAAGAGAATATTGGGTTTCTAATATAATTTAAGAACGTGGCAAAACAAATCATTGTTGATTTTGTGGTGTCTGCATAAGCCTTCATGACATCGTTTTTTGTCACACACACACACACACACACACACAAAAAGCTCATGGGGCGGGGAGAGAGAGGGCCCGGTAGCAACCGGTGAAGAGGCGGGGCCAGGAGCTAAGACTCGACCCCTGCAACCACAAATAGGTGAGCAAATAGGTGAGCACACACACACACACACACACACACACACACACACACACACATATAGAAAAGAGTAAGGTGGTGAAGGTATCAAATGATTTAGATAAAGAAAAATTGGATATCAAATTGGGAAAGAGGAGTATGGAAGAAGTGAATGTTTTCAGATATTTGGGAGTTGACGTGTCAGCGGATGGATGTATGAAGGATGAGGTTAACCATAGAATTGATGAAAGAAAAAAAGTGAGTGGGGCGTTGAGGTATATGTGGAGACAAAAAACTTTATCTATGGAGGCAAAGAAGGAAATGTATGAAAGTATAATGGTACCAATACTCTTATATGGGTGTGAAGCTTGGGTTGTAGGTGCTGCAGCGAGGAGGCAGTTGGAGGCGGTGATATCCTGTCTAAGGGCAATGTGTGGTGTGAATAATATGTAGAAAATTCGAAGTGTGGAAATTAAGAGAAGGTGTGGAGACAGTGGAGTTAATAAAAGTATTAGAGGGCTGAAGAGGGGTTGTTGAGATGGTCTGGTCATTTAGAGAAAATGAATCAAAGTAGAATGGACATGGAGAGCGTATAAATCTGTAGAGGAAGGAAGGCGGGGTAGGGGTCGTCCTTGAAAAGGTTGGAGGGAGGGGGTAAAGGAGATTTTGTGGGTGAGGGGCTTGGACTTCCAGCAAGCATGCGTGAGCGTGTTAGATAGGGGTGAATGGAGACGAATGGTATTTGGGACCTGACGATCTGTTGGAGTGTGAGCAGGGTAATATTTAATGAAGGGATTTTGGGAAATCGGTTATTTTTATATAGCCGGACTTGAGTACTGGAACTGGGGAGTACAGTGCCTGCACTTTAAAGGAGGGGTTTGGGATATTGGCAGTTTGGAGGGATATGTTATATATCTTTATACGTATATGCTTCTAAACTGTTGTATTCTGAGCACCTCTGCAAAAACAGTGATTATGTATGAGTGAGGTGAAAGTGTTGGATGATGAAAGTATTTTCTTTTTGGGGATTTTCTTTCTTTTTGGGTCACCCTGCCTCGGTGGGAGACGGCCAACTTGTTAAAAAAATATACATATATATAATATATACACACACCGAGAGGTGTGTTTGTCTCTCAGTGTATATACATTGAGTTTAATCTCTGTATTAGGAATGAAAGTATTCGACTGGTAGTGACAAGGTTACTGGCAGCTTTAAATGACCTAGTGTAGTAGATAAGCTTTAAACTCCATTAACCAACATCCAGTCTTAAATTAGTGTTTCCTTGGTGGGGAACTAACAAGTTACAGGCTTTTTCTACGTGAACTAATAATTTACAGCATTTTCTTCATATAAAATTAACAGTTTGGAACAAACCTTTCATGGAGCCCTGACAATTTACAGCGTTTATTTCTTCGAGAACTAGCATAAATTACTGTTTCCTTAATGGGGGTACTGTAGCCTACCAACAAAGTATTCGTGAACGTCAATGTGAAATATTTCCACGTTACATGCATCATTTTTTTTTTTTTTTTTTTTGCAAAGAGAAAATAAATATCTACGATTCATTGGTAATAATGTTATAATAATAATAATAATAATAATAATAATAATAATAATAATAATAATAAATCAATAATTAATAAAGCTGGTACTCGCCTATATGTACTCATTTCTGTTGTTACATGCTGTGTATATATTTTTTATTTTTCCTATTTTTTATTTCTACAGCAGTTAAATTAAAAGGAACCTAAACCACTTCTTTTTATCTCTTCGAAATCTCTCTACTCTACATATTCATTAAATTATCGTATCTGTTCTGTTTATTCGTTAAATTCCTATATTCCTTGCCTGCCACTTCATCTCTGCCGGCAGGTCACAGGGAGTTTGAACAGGTGGAGCTATCTGTACCTAACTCGCCGGGGCAATGGGTGGTAGAGGGGTTCGCTACCCACCTTCAGCATGGTTTTCATATCCTGCCGGAGCGAGAGTACGACACTACACCTCCTCTCCTCATGCGCCTTCAGGCTACCTCCGTCTGTCGCAGGGGAGAACAGGTTAGTTGGGCAAAGATATGTCTGGAGTTTCTGATAAGGAATCAAAATTAGTGGGAGCCAGGAATATCTACAAGCCTGGTTATATCGACGAAACGGAGCGATAAATCAGTGGTATGTAATGGCAGCAGGACTATATATATATAAGCTTGACTCTATAGATGGCGCAGAGCAGTAAATTAGTCGCAGGTAGTAAGGAATAGGTGTATGTACCAACCTTGGTGTCACACGACAGTAAGTTAATCTGATCTGTGAAGACAATCGAGTCATCACTACCAAGTGCTACAAATTTTCCACTTGACCCAATGTAACATTGTTTTGTGGCAGCTGGTCGAGTTGAGGATCGCCTTCAGTTTGAATGTTCCCAAGATGGTCAGACAACCAGACTGAAAATAAGCATCCATAAACACATTATTTTATATTCCTAACGACACTAGTGTTTGTGTTGTGCTACTTCCCCCCCCCTCAAAAAATGACTAATCCTGATGATATTCATGTTCACACATATTCCTAAGGAACTAGTGTTATTTTAATGCAGTTTTCATTGTTTACACTTCCCATATGGTGGTTTAGCGCTTAGTTTTGATAATAATACTCTTTCCATACACAGCTTCAGAGAACAGCTAATGTTTTTAAATTTAGTCTTAAATACTGCATGTTTATAATGGCGGCACTACGATGATGCTTGTTGTAGAAGAATCACTGAGGTTAGGTTCGTCAGGAAACAGGACATGTGTTTCCTGACGCGGGTCTTAGTCAGATGACCCGCCGTTGGAGCTTTTGGTCATTTGACCGAGGCCTTCCGTTGGCTTACCGGTCCACCCCTTTAAAATTATGGTCATAGTTATGACCATTTGGTAAGAATCACTGAAAATAAGTTAGTGACTATAGGTTGATGTGTCAGCAGATTTCGGTGCGTGTTCATCTGTATAATGGGTCGAAGCAGACGGTTCTGGTGATGCTGGTGCTACAGGGAAGTAAAGACTACAGCTTCGTCCATGTAGAGAAAGATGCTACCGTGAACCACTATAACCCAAGATTATCGTCAGGCGACCACCACCACCTCATCTCAGTCAGTATCTTGATGTTTATAGTGATGTTCCGTGTGTCAAGGCTAGTTATAATTTACCCTTTTGTAATTATATTAATAATAACATGATTATGGTTGGATGGCATTAAGGCAGAGGGGAAGATGGTCTGGGTTTCGTATCCTAGTCTCTCTCAATATGTTTTTTGGTATGAAATATTCTTAAAAGACAAATGCCTCTTTCCTACCACCACATTCCTCCCCCGTCCCTTCCCGTATTTTTCTTCCCCTCCTTCCTATTTTTCAGCATTCACCCTCCTCCGTCTCCTTCGCTTTCCATTCATTTCCCAGAACTGCCGAGTAGAATAAACCTTAGTGAGGCAGTTCTAAATTTAAATTTGTTTGAGGGGTAATTTAATTTTAGTGCAATAGTTCAGATTAATCATTTGGAATTTTAAGAAAAACAGGTCAAATTAATGTTATGTTCAATCGCAGCAAGTGATGCATCTCTTGATCTCGTTCATATCGTTTATCACGCCATGTAAAATTGCATAATACTACTTTCAAAGACTGTTAAAGTGCTGTTCCATAAGATCTTGTTTTAAGTACATGAGCATCCAACAGGTTTGTGTGAACATGTTAGACAGGAGTGAATGGAGACCAGTGGTTTTTAACAATGTTTGTTGGAGTGAACCAGGTAACTTATGAAGGTTAGGTAAGATTCGTCAGGAAACAGGATGTTTCCTGACACTGGTCTTAGTCATATGATGACCCACCACTGGAGCTTTTGGTCATCTGAATCTGACCGAAGTCTTCCTCTACTTATGAAGGTATTCAGGGAAACCGGTTAGCCGGGCGTGAATCCTGGAGGTGGGAAAAGCAGTGCCAGCACTTTGACGAAGGGGTGGGTATGTTGCAGTCTAAGGGTAACATGAGCTGTGATGTCAATGCACTTTTGGAAAGACAGCGAACGAATAAATGATGGCTAATGTGTTTTCTTCTTTGGATCACTCTGCCTTGAGAAACGGTCGTCGAGACATATTCAACACGCTGGCCGTCTCCCACCGAGGCAGACTGACCCAAAAAGAAACATTCATCATTATACACTTTCACCATCATTCACACATAATCACTGTCTTTGCAGAGGCTCTCACATACGACAGTTTAGATATCACTCCAAACAGCCAATATCCCAAACCCCTCCTTTAAATTGCAGACATTGTACTTCCCACCTTCAGGACTCAAGTCCGGCTAACCATCGCAGACAGGCGGTCTTAATGCAAAACACGCCACGGGGGGTGGAAATCTTCAGCTCAAGATCTTTCACACTTTTCCGTGCTTCATCAGGAGCTGTGCAATATAAGAGCTACAACAGGTAGATTGAGGGAAGGTTTTCTCAGAGTAAAGGTCGCATGTTGACGCTGGCTGGCCTCTTCCAGCTAAGGCAACCGAAATACATCCGGTATTTTTATTATATTCTTTAGAGATGTTTTTTGTGAGTGTTGGTAACGTGTCTCTGGTTAGCACAGGTGCAGGGCGAGGGATTCACGGAAGTGATGTTGCCTTTGGCCGTCACTAAACAATCTGGCTCCTTCACCGTCACCGTCCACGCACGCTCACAGGCCGCCTCAGACACAAGAACAGTTAACGTTAGAATTCAGGTAGGTGGTCTTTCTTCCTTTCTCTTCTGTATATAAAGAATTGTGCTTATCAACAGTTAGCTGTTACCCTAGTCTATATGATTGATACATTGTGTAAACTAAAGCCAGCTATATTTCTCTAACAATTCATTACACGTGATGAGTAAGAGCTTTGAATCCACAGAGTAACGCAGTGTGTTAATCTGAACCGGAAGGCTTCGGTAGGCCACTGAGGTTTCACTACAAAACGTTTTCCTGTGGGCATAAACTTAGTATTGAATGCACATGAAACTTAATCACTATTTAATTATGATTGAAGACCATTGACTGCACCTGGATCATAAAAGCTGCATTTCACCTATACACTAGCAATCAAGATCAAGATATTGCACGACTCTCCATTCCAACTTGCAATTGAAGAAATCTTTTCTTTGAAGCACACAGCTTACATTTTCTCTTTCCACATCTCACAATTCTAACTCTTTATACAGCATATCAAAATCCATCTTGTCCTTTGGTTTCCTCATCATAATTATGTCTCCGAAACTGTTTGCTATCATTGCCTCTTATATTCTCCATTCTTTACCCCTTTTCTTCTCCACTTATGCAGTAGGCGCGTATATTTCGGTAGCGTCTGTCTTGCAGTTAGTGGACAAAGGATTAGGCCTTCAATATTATTTGCAGTGAATTATTGTATTAACCTTTCTTATACTAAAGTTTTCTTTATCCTAATTTTCTCTCATTGCCACACCCACACTAACACTCTGCTCTTCTCTACCACTCCACCACCACGACTACATTAGCATTCTACTCACCATCATACTACACTCGACCCACCATCATATTAACACTCTTTCCTGCTGTTACTCCTCATGTTCACTGTCACAATTTACCACATGCCACCCCCACAGCCTGAGGGCACCGAGGTGCGGAAACACACGTCGGTGCTGCTGGACCTGAAGAACCGAGCCACCGTGTACGAGTTCCTCGACCTGCCTGTGGACGAGAGTCCTGAGATTACTAGGAGCATCCAGAGGCGCTATGTGTATGGCTCACCCCGGGCCAGCCTGACACTCTCAGGTAGGCCTACTTAACACTTGTCAGTATTATAACACTAATCCTCTCAAGGTGGTACCTTGATACTGAGGAAAGGGCTTTTGAACCAAAGAATTTGAGCTACTCTCCCTGGGATCAAACCAATTACCCTCCACCCTCCCATTTGTGAGTTGATGTATATTTTTTTGTGATTTTAGTGCTGCCTCATGAATGTTAACAACAATAACAATACAGTATCAGCACTTAATTTTCACATTTCGAATTTACGCAATTCCATCATTGGTTAAAGCAAAAATAAGTATTTATTTTTCTCCTCCCTTTATTCTTTCCAGGTAACTAATATTTCCCTGCAAACTGTTTGTCTTATTTTTTTCCACACCTGTTGGAACCGATTAATCAAATACCTTCCTTGTACTCGTGACATATTCTATAATATTTATTATATATTTCGTGTATTTATTCCCCGCCGTCGGAGCAGGTGATGTGTTCGGTCCCACTCAGAAGAACATAGTGGTGAACTTCGAGAAGGCCTTCAGTGGAAGGATCCTGAAGAGCACTGATGGGCTGGCCTTCAACCTGGGCACCACCGTCTGGACGCTACATTATTTCCGTCTCACCAACCAACTCGACATAACCAAGGCCAAGGGCGCCTTTGACTTCATGAACGTTCAGCTGGCTGGCCTCCTCACGCGCTATAGGAAAGGAGCCTTCAAAATGTGGCATTTCTCCGAGCCATCTGTCTGGTAATATAACGATCTTCACTTTTTGTAAATACAAATATAATTATTTCTAGGTGCGTTGAGAAATATATGATCGCTATGCCCCGTCTCCATTGATTAGTATTTCATATAATTTCCTAAATATTCCGTCGATTGTAATATTTACTACCCTGTCCCCTTTGATAGGGGTTTGCCTTGATGCTGGTGAGGTACCTTCTCTTTCCATGGTTCAGACTTTATTACCTCCCATTCCCCAGGCTCTGAATGACACCGACGGGGTCATTCAGAGCCTGGGGAATGGGATAATATCCACGATAATATCTCCTTTAATCCAACTGCACAAGTCCAGCACTCCTTTTGTGAAAAAATACCTTGTGTCACCACTCTTTCCTATATACAGTAATGACCACTTGTTCTGTGTGTGTGTGTGTGTGTGTGTTTTACTGGGTGCCTCTGCAAAGACAGTGCTTATGTGTGAATGATGGTGAGTGTTTTTTGGGGGGGAGTCACATATATATTTATATATATATATATTATATTATATATATATATAGTATATATATATAATATATATATATATATATATATATATGTGACCGATATATATATATATATATATATATATATATATATAATATATAATATATAAAATTATATTATGTGACCGATATATATAATATATTATTATAATATATATATATATATATATTATATATATTATATATATATAATATATATATATATATATATATATATATATATATATATATTCAACAAGTCGGCCGTCTCCCACCGAGGCAGGGTGACCCAAAAAAGAAAGAAAATCCCAAAAAGAAAATACTTTCATCATCATTCAACACTTTCACCACACTCACACATTATCACTGTTTTTTGCAGAGGTGCTTAGAATACAACATTTAGAAGCATACAATATAAAGATACACAACATATCCCTCCAAACTGCCAATATCCCAAACCCCTCCTTTAAAGTGCAGGCATTGTACTTCCCATTTCCAGGACTCAAGCCGACTATATGAAAATAACCGGTTTCCCTGAATCCCTTCACTAAATATTACCCTGCTCACACTCCAACAGATCGTCAGGTCCCAAGTATCATTCGTCTCCATTCACTCCTATCTAACACGCTCATGCACGCTTGCTGGAAGTCCAAGCCCCTGCGCCCACAAAACCTCCTTACCCCCTCTTTCCAACCCTTTCGAGGACGACCCCTACCCCTCCTTCCTTCCTTTATAGATTTATATGCTTTCCATGTCATTCTAATTTGATCCATTCTCTCTAAATGACCAAACCACCTCAACAACCCCTCTTCTGCCCTCTGACTAATACTTTTATTAACTCCACACCTTCTCCTGATTTCCACACTCCGAATTTTCTGCATAATATTTACACCACACATTGCCCTTAGACAGGACATCTCCACTGCCTCCAACCGTCTCCTCGCTGCTGCATTTACCACCCAAGCTTCACATCCATATAAAAGTGTTGGTACTAATATACTTTTTATACATTCCTTTCTTTGCCTCCATAGATAACGTTTTTTGACTCCACATATACCTCAACGCACCACTCACCTTTTTTCCCTCATCAATTCTATGATTAACCTCATCCTTCATAAATCCATCCGCCGGCACGTCAACTCCCAAGTATCTGAAAACATTCACTTCTTCCATACTCCTCCTCCCCAATTTGATATCCAATTTTTCTTTATCTAAATCATTTGATACCCTCATCACCTTACTATTTTCTATGTTCACTTTCAACTTTCTACCTTTACACACATTCTCAAACTCATCTACTAACCTTTGCAATTTTTCTTTAGAATCTCCCATAAGCACAGTGTCATCAGCAAAAAGTAATTGTGTCAATTCCCATTTTGAATTTGATTCCCCATAATTTAATCCCACCCCTCCCCGAACACCCTAGCATTACTTCTTTTACAACCCCATCTATAATATATTAAACAACCATGGTGACATTACACATCCCTGTCTAAGACCTACTTTTACCGGGAAATATTCTCCCTCTCTTCTCCACACCCTAACCTGAGCCTCACTATCCTCATAAAAGCTCTTTACAGCATTTAGTAACTTACCACCTATTCCATATACTTGCAACATCTGCCACATTGCTCCTCTACCACTCTATCATATGCCTTTTCTAAATCCATAATGCAATAAAAACTTCCCTACCTTTATCTAAATACTGTTCACATATATGCTTCAATGTAAACACTTGATCTACACATCCCCTACCCACTCTGAAGCCTCCCTGCTCATCTGCAATCCTACATTCTGTCTTACCTCTAATTCTTTCAATTATAACCCTACCGTATACTTTTCCTGGTATACTCAGTAAACTTATTCCTCTATAATTTTTACAATCTCTTTTGTCCCCTTTCCCTTTATATAAAGGGACTATACATGCTCTCCGCCAATCCCTAGGTACCTTCCCCTCTTCATACATTTATTAAACAAAAGTACCAACCACTCCAACACTATATCCCCCCCTGCTTTAACATTTCTGTCATGATCCCATCAGTTCCAGCTGGTTTACCCCCTTTCATTCTACGTAATGCCTCACGTACCTCCACCACACTTACATTCTGCTCTCTTCACTCCTAAAAGATGGTATACCTCCCTGGCCAGTGCATGAAATTAACCGCCTCCCTTTCTTCCTCAACATTTAAAAGTTCCTCAAATTATTCTCGCCATCTACCAATACCTCCCTCTCCCATCTACTAACTCCCCTACTCTGTTTTTAACTGGACAAATCCATACTTTCCTTAGGCTTTCTTACTTGTTTAACTCACTCCAAAATTTTTTCTTATTTCATTAAATTTCTTGACAGTGCCTCTCCCACTCTTTCATCTGCTCTCCTTTTGCACCTCTCACCACTCTCTTCACCTTTCTTTTACTCTCCATATACTCTGCTCTTCTTATAACACTTCTGCTTTGTAAAACCTCTTCATAAGCTAACTTTTTCTCTTTATCACACCCTTTACTTCATCATTCCACCAATCACTCCTCTTTCCTCCTGCCCCCCCCTCCTATAACCACAAACTTCTGCCCCACATTCTAATACTGCATTTTAAAACTATTCCAACCCTCTCAACCCCCCCACTACCATCTTTGCACTAGCCCACCTTTCTGCCAATAGTCGCTTATATCTCGCCCGAACTTCCTCCCTCCCTTAGTTTATACACTTGCACCTCCTTTTACTTGTTGTTGCCACTTTCCTCTTTTCCCCCCTCTACCTCGTACTCTAACTGTAGCTACACTAAATAATGATCCGATATATCATTGCCCCTCTATTAAACATGTACATCCTGGAGCCTACCCATAACCTTTTATCCACCAATACATAATCTAACAAACTACTTTCATTACGTGCACATCGTAACATCGTACCTTTATATATTATATAAATATTATATATATATATAAAAATATTTTTTTTTTTTTTTTTTTTTTTTCAACAAGTCGGCCGTCTCCCACCGAGGCAGGGTGACCCAAAAAAGAAAGAAAATCCCCAAAAAGAAAATACTTTCATCATTTATTCAACACTTTCACCACACTCGCACATTATCACTGTTTTGCAGAGGTGCTCAGAAACAACAGTCCCAGAAGCATAAACATATAAAAGATACACAACAATCCCTCCAAAAATGCCAAAAATCCCAAACCCCTCCTTTAAAGTGCAGGCATTGTACTTCCCATTTCCAGGACTCAAGTCCGACTATATGAAAATAACCGGTTTCCCTGAATCCCTTTACTAATATTACCCTGTCTCACACTCCAACAGATCGTCAGGTCCAAGTACCATTCGTCTCCATTCACTCCCATCTAACACGCTCACGCACGCTTGCTGGAAGTCCAAGCCCTTACCCACAAACCTCCTTTACCCCCTCTCTCCAACCCTTTCGAGGACGACCCCTACCCCCCCCTTCCTTCCCCTATAGATTTATATGCTTTCCATGTCATTCTAAATGTGATCCATTCTCTCTAAATGACCAAACCACCTCAACAACCCCTCTTCTGCCCTCTGACTAATACTTTTTATTAACTCCACACCTTCTCCTAATTTCCACACTCCGAATTTTCTGCATAATATTTACAACCACACATTTCCCTTAAACAGGAATCTCCGCTGCCTCCAACCGTCTCCTCGCTGCGCATTTACCACCCAAGCTTCACACCCATATAAAGTGTTGGTACACTATACTTTCATACATTCCCTTCTTTGCCTCCATAGATAACGTTTTTTTGACTCCACATATACCTCAACGCACCACTCACCTTTTTTTTCCCTCATCAATTCTATGATTAACCTCATCCTTCATAAATCCATCCGCCGACACGTCAACTCCCAGTATCTGAAAACATTCACTTCTTCCATATCTCCTCCTCCCCAATTTGATATCCAATTTTTCTTTATCAAATCATTTGACACCCTCTCACCTACTCTTTTCTATGTTCACTTTCAACTTTCTACCTTTACACACATTTCCCAAACTCATCCACTAACCTTTGCAATTTTTCTTTAGAATCTCCATAAGCACATATCATCAGCAAAAAGTAACTGTGTCAAATTTCCCCTTTTGAAATTTTATTCCCATAATTAATCCCACCCCTCTCCCAAACACCCTAGCATTTACTTCCTTTACAACCCCATCTAAAATATATTAAACAAACCCTGGTGACATACACATCCCTGTCTAAGACCTACTTTTACCGGGAAAATAGTCTCCCTCTCTTCTACACACCCTAACCTGAGCCCCACTATCCTCATAAAAACTCTTTACAGCTTTAATAACTTTCCACCTATTCCATATACTTGCAACATCTGCCACATTGCTCCTCTATCCACTCTATCATATGCCTTTTCTAAATCCATAAATGCAATAAAAACTTCCCTATCTTTATCTAAATACTGTTCACATATAAAGCTTCAATGTAAACACCTGATCTACACATCCCCTACCCACCTAAAACCTCCTTGCCCTCCGCAATCCTACATTCTGTCTTACCTCTAATTCTTTCAATTATAACCCTACCGTACACTTTTCCTGGTATACTCAGTAAGCTTATTCCTCTATAATTTTTACAGTCTCTTTTGTCCCCTTTCCCTTTATATAAAGGGGCTATACATGCTCTCTGCCAAACCCTAGGTACCTTCCCCTCCTTTCATACTTTATTAAACAAAAGTACCAACCACTCCCAAAACTATATCCCCCCCTGCTTTTAACATTTCTGTCTGATCCCATCAGTTCCAGCTGCCTACCCCCTTTCATTTACGTAATGCCTCACGTACCTCCCCCACATACATTCTGCTCTTTTTCACTCCTAAAAGATGGTATACCTCCCTGACCAGTGCATGAAAATTTCTGCCTCGTTCTTCCCTTTAAAATTTTAAAAATTCCTCAAAATATTCTCGCCATCTTCCAATACCTCCATCTCCCCCATCTACTAACTCCCCTACTCTTTTTTAACTGACAAATCCATATTTTCCCTAGGCTTTCTTAACTTGGGTTTAACTCACCCAAAATTTTTTCTATTTTCATTAAAATTTCTTGACAATCCTCTCCCACTCAAACATCTGCTTCTCCTTTTGCACTCTCTCACCACTCTCTTTACCTTTCTTTTACTCTCCATATACTCTGCTCTTCTTATAACACTTCTGCTTTGTAAAAAACCTCTCATAAGCTACCTTTTTCTCTTTATCACACCCTTTACTTCATCATTCCACCAATCACTCCTCTTTCCTCCTGCCCCACCCTCCTATAACCACAAACTTCTGCCCCACATTCTAATACTGCATTTTTAAAACTATTCCAACCCTCTTCAACCCCCCCACTACTCATCTTTGCACTAGCCCACCTTTCTCGCCAATAGTCGCTTATATCTCACCCGAACTTCCTCCTCCCTTAGTTTATACACTTTCACCTCCCTCTTACTTGTTGTTGCCACCTTCCTCTTTTCCCATCTACCTCTTACTCTAACTGTAGCTACAACTAAATAATGATCCGATATATCAGTTGCCCCTCTATAAACATGTACATCCTGGAGCCTACTCATCAACCTTTTATCCACCAATACATAATCTAATAAACTACTTTCATTACGTGCTACATCATACCTTGTATATTTATTTATCCTCTTTTTCATAAAATATGTATTACTTATTACCAAATTTCTTCTACACATAGCTCAATTAAAGGCTCCCCATTTACATTTACCCCTGCACCCCAAATTTACCTACTACTCCCTCCATAACATTTTTACCCACTTTAGCATTAAAATCCCCAACCACCATTACTCTCACACTTGATTCAAACTCCCCACGCATTCACTCAACATTTCCCAAAATCTCTCTCTCTCCTCTACACTTCTCTCTTCTCCAGGATGCATACACGCTTATTATAACCCACTTTTCACATCCAATCTTTATTTTACTCCACATAATCCTTGAATTAATACATTTTATAGTCCCTCTTTTCCTGCCATAGCTTATCCTTCAACATTATTGCTACTCCTTCTTTAGCTCTAACTCTATTTGAAACCCCTGACCTAATCCCATTTATTCCTCTCCACTGAAACTCCCCACCCCCTTCAGCTTTGTTTCACTTAAAGCCAGGACATCCAGCTTCTTCTCATTCAATAACATCCACAATCATCTCTTTCTTATCATCTGCACAACATCCACGCACATTCAGACTTCCCACTTTGACAATTTTCTTCTTCTTATTCTTTTTAGTAATCTTTACAGGAAAAGGGGTTACTAGCCCATTGTTCCCGGCATTTTAGTTGACTTTTACAACACGCATGGCTTACGGAGGAAAGATTCTTATTCCACTTCCCCATGGATATAAAAGGAAAATTAATAAGACCAAGAACTATAAGATAAAATCAAAGAAAACTCAGATGAGTGTGTATAAATAAATGTGTACATGTATGTGTAGTGTGACCTAAGTGTAAGTAGAAGTAGCAAGACATGCCTGTAATCTTGCATATTTATGAGACAGACAAAAGACATCAGCAATCCTACCATCATGTAAAACAATCACAGGCTTCGTTTTACACTCACTTGGCAGGACGGTAGTACCTCCCTGGGTGGTTGCTGTCTACCAACCTACTACCATATATATATATATATATATATATATATATATATATATATATATATATATATATTCCTACAAGAATCACGCACCCAGCAGAGCTAGGTGTTGTATCGTGATCCGAGGACATACGACGGTGTGGGTGCCTCATAGCTAATTTCATTCTACTTCCCGTTTGGTGTACTAGCCTCCACAAGTAGTATACAGTATATAGTATTGTAACCACGAACAAGTGGTATTAATCAATAACAACACTGCGACTAGCCGGGGTATCAAACCCGTGTTTAGCCTGCCTCATGGCAAGCAAAAATTCACGACGCTCTAACCCACTGAACCATACAATCTTACAAGAATCACGCATCCAACAGAGCTAGGTGTTATACCGTGATCCGAGGACATACAATGGTGTGGGTGCCTCAGAGCTAATTTTATTCTACTCCCCGTTTGGTGTGGTAGCCTCCACAAGCAGTATAGGTAGTACTGTAACCACGAACAAGTGGTATTTAATCAATAACACTGCGACTAGCCAGGGGATCGAACCTGTGTTGCGTTAGCCCCCCTCATGATGAGCGAAAAGTGGTATTTAATTCACAATTAAATGCCACTTGTTCGTGGTTACAATATATGTACTGCTTGTGGAGGCTAGTGCACGAAACGAGGAGTAGAATGAAATTAGCTCTGAGGCACCCACACCATCGTATGTCCTTGGATCATGGTACAACACCTAGCTCTGCTGGATGCGTGATTCTTGTAAGATTGTATGGTCCAGTGGGTTAGAGCGTCGTGAATTTTCGCTCACCATGAGGCGGGCTAGAACAACACGGGTTCGATCCCCCGGCTAGTCGCAGTATTGTTATTGATTAAATACCACTTGTTCATGATTACAATACTATATAACTGCCTGTGGAGGCTAGTACACCAAACGAGGAGTAGAATGAAATTAGCTCTGAGGCACCCACACCATCATTATTATTTTATTTTATTATCACACTGGCCGATTCCCACCAAGGCAGGGTGGCTCGAAAAAGAAAAACTTTCACCATCATTCACTCCATCACTGTCTTGCCAGAAGGGTGCTTTACACTACAGTTTTTAAACTGCAACATTAACACCCCTCCTTCAGAGTGCAGGCACTGTACTTCCCATCTCCAGGACTCAAGTCCGGCCTGCCGGTTTCCCTGAACCCCTTCATAAATGTTACTTTGCTCACACTCCAACAACACGTCAAGTATTAAAAACCATTTGTCTCCATTCACTCCTATCAAACACGCTCACGCATGCCTGCTGGAAGTCCAAGCCCCTCGCACACAAAACCTCCTTTACCCCCTCCCTCCAACCTTCCCTAGGCCGACCCCTACCCCGCCTTCCTTCCACTACAAACTGATACACTCTTGAAGTCATTCTGTTTCGCTCCATTCTCTCTACATGTCCGAACCACCTCAACAACCATCATATATATATATTATATTTTTGTATTTTTTGTTTTTGCGTTCCGACACTTGCTAAGAAAGTGAGCGGGCTAAGAAGGGTCTACGAGGGAAAGAAACACGTTTCCATTGATTGAGGAGAGAAGGACGTGAGCTACATCATGTTCAGGTGTTAGATCCACTACAGAAGTATGAGGAACCGTGGGCTTTAGTACAGTTATGCAGGCAGGGGTAAACACTGATGTCAGGGAGTGGGAGAGGGTATTGCAGTAGAAATAAGGTTCGGTGATATCAGATAGTGCTGAAGGATTTAATGCGATGAGAGAGTTCCAGCCAAGTGCTTCAATTGACAATGGCTTCTCACGTTGCCGTCAGTGTTGTTGATACCAGCTCATAAGAACATAAGAAAGAAGGAACACTGCAGTACGCCTGCTGGCCCATGCGAGGCAGGTCCAAGTCTCCTACCGGCTTAAGCCAATGCCCCAACCTAGCCAGGTCAGGTCACATTCACTTAAGGAAGGAACACGGCAACTGACCTAGTAGCACAAGCTAATCAGGTTCAACTCACACCCACTCATATATTTATCTAACCTATTTTTAAAACTACACAACGTTGTAGCCTCTCATGACGGGTTTGTTTTAATTTTGAGTTTAAATGGTGGAGATTCCTCAAAAGGGTTGTTTTGTGGCTGACTAAGCACTTTATCCAAGGAATTGGAGCTATTCTTCCCTTCTTGTATGAAACCTTCCATTCCCTAGGCACTGTATGACCCCCGAAAAATTTAATTCTTCTCCGTGGATGTAATAGAAATTGTAGTATATTCGTTTGGAGTGTTGATGTTTGTTATTTATGTGTATGCTGGTTGCTGGTAACTGTGTTGGCTTTTTTTTCCCTCTCTAGGGTGACAGCATGGGTAGTGAACGTACTGCTGGCAGCGCAGCTTCAAGACTGGGAGAACCTGGTGTACATAGAGCCTCGTCTGATTAACAGAGCTATTGCCTTTCTGATTGATCACCAGGCCGAAGATGGCAGCTTTCACGAGACGTCTCACTACAACATCACACTTGATTATAAGATGAGCTTTAAGGTAACTCTTAGATGTTGACTTCTCACCAATACTTGTCACACAGCTTTCTCACAGTAGCAGAGCTACTGTGAGAAAGCTGTGTGACATGTATTCCTGGTTACGGAGAATTTTAAAAGCTGAGGTAATCAATCCCTCAGCCTTGGAGGTGGTGTTCACCAATTTACAATTTTAAAAGCATTGGGTCAGTTCCTGGATTTAAATTCTTGATTCCACAGACTACACTAACAGGTTTTTAATAATAAATTAGTAGGTATGTAGTTTTCTGAAATTGGTACCACTTGTCTTTGACTATGCAGCTTGGGCAGAAGTCGACAAGTGGTGAGCCAGAGTCATATAGTCTGAAGCTCTCTTCAATAGACTGAAAAGGTCCCTAGTTGCTGGGCGAAATATTCAGCCTTCTGTTTCACTTACTCCACGTGGGTTCATTTCTATCATGTATTATTATTTATACTCATTAATACTGCTTGTATTAACGATTCCGTTTTGGCTTGCTTCTGCTAGTGTTTTCTATAATACCCGAAGTTTTAGCAGCTTTGCCACCTTTGTCCATCTTGTTCATACTATTCTCTGTTGTCAAAAGTCTTTTTTACCAGTCTCCTCAGTGTTTATATCATGTGCGGCAGTAATTGACATAACATAAAAATGAGGAACACTGCAGCAGGCCCATACTGAGCAGGTCTTTCTTAAAACCAGCAATTCCCACCCACCTAACTGTCCAACTTTTTCCCAAAGCCACACAAGAATTTACTTCAATTCTCCAATCAAATACAGCCCTTTTCCTTTGAGAAAAATGGTAATGTGGAACTTGAGATACTGTTGTTATTGAAGTAGTTTTTATAACAATTTGTATTTAAGGTAGTGTTGAAATGATTGCAGGGTTGGTCAGCGGGCGAGGGAGAAGAGGCAGCAATGGTGGCAATGACAGCTCTCGTAACAACGGTGCTGCAGGAAGCAATACCGACACTAGAGGGACAAGTCCATGCCAGAGCACTCACCGCCAAACAACGCGCCACCAGGTGACTAACAAGTTCTCCATTTTTCTGAAATTATCAATGCAGTTGTTGAGGCAGTGATACCTGTATACTGAAACAGTCAAGGATGGAGTTGATATCACCAGTGATGCGTCATCTAGTGACTAGGGCAACAAGTCGACAGCTGGGTATGAAAACAGTACATAGTAAATCTTTATTTTAGATATTGTTTCGCTCAGGATTATGCTTTATAAAGTTTGTTAAAGTTCTGACTTAAGCTCAGTCCTGAGCGAAATACCATTTAAAATAAAGGTTTTTGTATTACGTGTCTTTATATCGTGTGTCAACTATTTGGGTTATATTGTAGTCTGTACTCACCAAATTATGGTTGCAGAGATCTAGTCATAGCTCCTGGGCCCTCCTCTTCACTGATCGCACTGATGGCAGTATATGTTCACTCACAGTGTGAGTGTTATTGACGGTATAAGACTCATGTGTAACACTTGGGTATCCTTATTGACGAAACGTTTCGCCTGCACAACTGGCTTCTTCAGTCGAATGCAGACGAGCATGACACTGAAGACTATAAGTGGTGTCTCCAGTGTTATATTCTATAATCGACTGAAGAAGCCTGGTGAGAAAGAAGAACGTTACAGCAGTAAAAATATCCAAGTGTTGAACTTGTGTCGTATTTATGATTGGTGGTGCTGCCCCATCCGGCAAGAATCTAAAAAATCTTTACCAATTTGGTTTCCATGTAACATTAAAAATGCTTTTCATTATTTGATGTACTTGTCAAGCTTTCCAACGAAGGTACATATTGTTGTGGTATAGTGTTGCTTTCGGGTTCACAATATTAGTCAGATTTGCATGGCTAAGGAGGAGGATTGGAAGGGGGGGGGCCTAGGTACAGTACCCAATAAGTACAACTATTCATAACTATCTCACAATTTGCAAAATAAACTAAATGACATTTCGACCTATCCTGGATCAGTGTCTATTTTAAATGGCTCAGGATGGACCAAAACGGCATCTTAAATTTTTCTTTCCAAAAACTTGGTTATATGTGAATTACTCTTCGTTGGACATAACTAAACTCAACTCTTTAAACATATCCGGACTCACGTGTAAGTCCAATTATTTTACCTTAGCATCATGACCCAGAAAGATCATTTACCAGAGACCGTTTTCTAAAATTTTAATCTTCAAGTAAGTGCTAGTTTTTTGTCGAGATCTCGTAAAAAAAAACGCAATGCAATTTCCTTCCTTTGGAGTTTTTACTTTTTACTATTTCGTGTAATAGCCGAAGCTAGGCTACTACGTTATTAGCTTATAATCACTTTATCATTAGTTTTGTTTTGCTACATCTTATGTAATAGTTTTTCTAACGTAAAAATGCCTTTGAACTTTATCTTAAGTATAAACATATCAAGATTTTTCGTCTTGCTGGTTTTTGATCATCATCATCATCATCTTCATGATCATCATCTTCATGATCATCATCATCATCATCTTCATGATCATCATCTTCATTGGGAAACTAAACGTGGAGGGATCTTACATAGCCTGGGGAATGAGAGGTTAATCAGGCTTGATCCAAGGAAGTATAGCTCCTGTGGAAAATTGCATTTAGCTGAATGTATCATTATGTACATAACAGTAAATATACACAGATAATTATTATTTATCAGTTAGACAAGTAGGAATTTGGGACACCTAGGTCGCAAAAAATGTCCACCTTCGATACCTACCACTGTCATCCACAAGTTGCTCTGGACCTATTAATTACCAATGAAAAATGTATCACCAGGAATACTGGTAAATATATAAATTTGTTGACTGTATATTAAAAATAATAAATGGTTATATATATATACACAATTACATAACAGAAGGAAAATATATCTTAATATCACTCACCAATTTGACTGGAGATTAAGTTGTACTCAGAAAATCTCACTGTCTATACATGAAAATAACTGACCAGAGTTATAACATAACAGACTTATCTGAGGTTCCTGGAATTGTCCTGTCCTGTCGCCTGATATCTCAAGTTATGCACATCCAACAATTTCGCCTCCTATTTGAGAGGTGTCAGCCCAATTTTAACCTCTAGAGCACGAAAAATTCTTCCCATTACACTAACGTTTACTTGGCTCATTCAAACCAAAATGGCGACTGTTCTGCGCAGGCGCAGCTTCCCGTTTTCGATAACAAATTTTATTAAATACAGTATGGCCATCTATTTACATATAACTACTGTATTTCTGGAAAATATATACAGTAATTTCCACAGCTCCAGTTCCTTGAATAAAGAGCCCTTCATCAATACCAAGGTAGTTCTCCTTGAAGGGTCACTGCTGTTGAAATATACTAACTTACGTTAATGACGTACTTGTACAGAGTAAGCTTAAAAGTATAATTGTCTTCTATATATACAACGTACTGCTTTATATACATGACCATGGCCATAGCGTTAAACACATATACGTACTCTTTTAATATAGTTATGATAGATGGATAAGTAACTGCTCCATTATGCCCTGTCTGTCTCCTGCTCCTGCTGCTGGCTATTGGGTACCTACACACCTGTAATTAGCACCTTTACCTGGTCAGTGTTCCCTCTTGCCTCCTCCATGCTCACCTCCAAGAGGATATTTTTACCCATCAAAGTCATCAGTTCTTTAACATTGTCATTATGCAGGCCGTGGAGGCTTGATAGCTTCGTTAATCACTTCCTCATCAAGGTTTTATGTAAACCCCATGTGCTCTCTTTTAACCTCCTCAAGGTGAGTGCCTTGATGCCGGTAAAGGGCTCTTAGTTTCAATACATTGGACTTCTCCTTTGGATGGAAACTGATTGTCTCGCATTCCCCAGGCTTAGAGCTCCTTCTTAAATATTCTTATATACTCCCTTAAAGAGGGAGGTGCCTTGATGCTGGTGCAGGGCTCTTGATCCAAAGGAATTGTTTAACCCTAAAAAGAGGGTAACTCCAATTCCTTGGATCAGAAGCTTTTCACTAGCATCAGGGAGCTACCCCTCCACTGAATAAATTCATTTCCCAGTCATTGTATGATTCTACGGGTTCAGCGCTTCATAACAATCTCAGTTTGTGATGTCAGTACATTTGTGGAAAGACAGCCAATCAAAATGGTCTAGAAGGCGGGACAAGGAGCTATGTCTCGACCTTCGCGAGCACAAATAGGAGAGTACTAACATGATACCTGTTCAGACTATCAGTAACAAAGACGAATGTTTATCCTGCAGTATTGACTGGTTTCGTGAAACACATGTTGCACCTTCCCCGCAGGTTCCTGGAGCGGCAGCTGGACCAGCTGTGGGATCCCTATGAAGTAGCCATAACCACCTACGCTCTTACACTCGTGGGCAGCACGGAGAAGGAGGTCGCTTTCAAGATGCTGGAGGCTCACGCCAGGACTTCAGGTACTACGCACCACTTCCTTTAGTAATATATATTCTTGCACGTTTTCGTATGAGTTTGATATATATATATATAATATATATATATATATATATATATATATATATATATATATATATATTTATTTATTTATTTATTTATTTATTCAACAAGTCGGCCGTCTCCCACCGAGGCAGGGTGACCCAAAAATGAAAGAATATCTGCAAAAAGAAAATACTTAATCATCATTCAACACTTTCACCTCACACATAATCATTTTTTGCAGAGGTGCTCAGAATACAACAGTTTAGAAGCATATACGTATAAAGATACACAACATATTCCTCCAAACTGCCAATATCCCAAACCCCTCCTTCAAAGTGCAGCCATTGTACTTTCCATTTCCAGGACTCAAGTCCGGCTATATAAAAACAACCAGTTTCCCTGAATCCCTTCACTAAATATTACCTTGCTCACGCTCCAACAGCTGGTCAGGTCCCAAATACCATTGGTCTCCATTCACTCCTAACACGCTCATGCACGCTTGATGGAAGTCCAAGTCCCTCGCCAACAAAACCTCCTTTACCCCCTCCCTCCAACCTTTTCGAGGACGACCCCTACCCCGCTTTCCTTCCCCTACAGATTTATACGCTTTCCATGTCATTCTACTTTGATACATTCTCTCTAAATGACCAAACCACCTCAACAACCCCTCTTCAGCCCTCTGACTAATACTTTTATCAACTCCACACCTTCTCCTAATTTCCACACTCCGAATTTTCTACATAATATTCACACCACACATTGCCCTTAGACAGGACATCACCGCTTCCAACCGCCTCCTCGCTGCGGCATTTACCACCCAAGCTTCACAACCATATAAGAGTGTTGGTACTACTATACTTTCATACCTTCCCTTCTTTGCCTCCATAGATAATTTTTTTTTCTCCACATATAACTCAATGCACTACTCACCTTTTTTCCTTCATCAGTTCTGTGATTAACCTCATCCTTCATAAATCCATCCGCTGACACGTCAACTCCCAAATATCTGAAAACATTCACCTCTTCCATACTCCTCTTCCTCAATTTGATATCCAACTTTTCTTTATCTAAATCATTTGATACCCTCATCACCTTACTCTTTTCTATGTTCACTTTCAACTTTCTACCTTTACACACACTCCCAAACTCATCCACTAACCTTTGCATTTTTTCTTTAGAATCTCCCATAAGCACAGTATCATCAGCAAAAAGTAACTGTGTCAATTCCCATTTTGTATTTAATTCCCCATAATTTAATCCCACCCCTCTCCCTAACACCCTAGCATTTACTTCTTTTACATCCCCATCTATAAATATATTAAAGACCCATGGTGACATTACACATCCCTGTCTAAGACCTACTTTTACCAGGAAATAGTCTCCCTCTCTTCTACACACCCTAACCTGAGCCTCACTATCCTCATAAAAACTCCTTACAGAATTTAGTAACTTACCACCTTTTCCATATACTTGTAACATCTGCCACATTGCTCCCCTATCCACTCTATCATATGCCTTTTCTAAATCCATAAATGCAATAAAAACTTCCCTACCTTTATCTAAATACTGTTCACATATATGCTTCAGTGTAAACACTTGATCTACACATCCCCTACCCACTCTAAAACCTCCTTGCTCATTCGCAATCCTACATTCTGTCTTACCTCTAATTCTTTCAATGATAACCCTACCATACACTTTTCCTGGTATACTCAGTAAACTTATTCCTCTATAATTTTTACAATCTTTTTTGACCCCCTTCCCTTCATATAAAGGGACTATACATGCTCTGCCAATCCCTAGGTACATTCCCCTCTTTCATACATTTATTAAACAAAAATACCAACCACTCCAACACTATATCGTCCTGTGATTTAAATATTTCTGTCATGATCCCGTCAGTTCCAGCTGCTTTACCCCCTTTCATTCTACATAATGCCTCACGTACCTCCCCCACACTCACATCCTGCTCTTCTTCACTCCTACAAGATGGTATACCTCCCTGGCCAGTGCATGAAATTACCGCCTCCCTTTCTTCGTCGACATTTAAAAGTTCCTCAAAATATTCTCGCCATCTACCTAATACCTCCATCTTACCTCCACTAACTCCCCTACTCTGTTTTTAACTGACATATCCACTCGTTCCCTAGGCTTTCTTAACTTGTTTAACTCGCTCCAGAATTTTTTCTTATTTTCTTTAAAATTTTTTGAGTGACTCTTCGACTCTATCATCTGCTCTCCTTTTGCACTCTCTCACCACTCTCTTTACCTTTCTTTTACTCTCCATATACTCTGCTCTTCTTATAACACTTCTGCTTTGTAAAAACCTCTCATAAGCTACCTTGTTCTCTTTTATCACACCCTTTACTTCATTCCACCAATCACTCCTCTTTCCTCCTGCACCCACCCACCTATAACCACAAACTTCTGCCCCACATTCTAATACTGCATTTTTAAAACTATGTATAATATATATATATATATATATATATATATATATATATATATATATATATATATTTTATATATATATATATATATATTGTATGTGAAAAGTGGGTTATAATAAGCGTGTATGCACCTGGAGAAGAGAGAAGTGTAGAGGAGAGAGAGAGATTTTGGGAAATGTTGAGTGAATGCGTGGGGAGTTTTGAATCAAGTGTGAGAGTAATGGTGGTTGGGGATTTCAATGCTAAAGTGGGTAAAAATGTTATGGAGGGAGTAGTAGGTAAATTTGGGGTGCCAGGGGTAAATGTAAATGGGGAGCCTTTAATTGAGCTATGTGTAGAAAGAGATTTGGTAATAAGTAATACATATCTTATGAAAAAGAGGATAAATAAATATACAAGGTATGATGTAGCACGTAATGAAAGTAGTTTATTAGATTATGTATTGGTGGATAAAAGGTTGATGGGTAGGCTCCATGATGTACATGTTTATAGAGGGGCAACTGATATATCTTATCATTAGATGGTAGATGGGAAAAGAGGAAGGTGGCAACAACAAGTAAGAGGGAAGTGAAAGTGTATAAACTAAGGGAGGAGGAAGTTCGGGTGAGATATAAGCGACTATTGGGAGAAAGGTGGGCTAGTGCAAAGATGAGTAGTGGGGGGTTGAAGAGGGTTGGAATAGTTTTAAAAATGCAGTATTAGAATGTGGGGCAGAAGTTTGTGGTTATAGGAGGGTGGGGGCAGGAGGAAAGAGGAGTGATTGGTGGAATGATGAAGTAAAGGGTGTGATAAAAGAGAAAAAGGTAGCTTATGAGAGGTTTTTACAAAGCAGAAGTGTTTATAAGAAGAGCAGAGTATATGGAGAGTAAAAGAAAGGTAAAGAGAGTGGTGAGAGAGTGCAAAAGGAGAGCAGATGATAGAGTGGGAGAGGCACTGTCAAGAAATTTTAATGAAAATAAGAAAAAAATTTTGGAGTGAGTTAAACAAGTTAAGAAAGCCTAGGGAAAGTATGGATTTGTCAGTTAAAAACAGAGTAGGGGAGTTAGTAGATGGGGGGATGGAGGTATTAGGTAGATGGCGAGAATATTTTGAGGAACTTTTAAATGTTAAGGAAGAAAGAGAGGCAGTAATTTCATGCACTGGTCAGGGAGGTATACCATCTTTTAAGAGTGAAGAAGAGCAGAATGTAAGTGTGGGGGAGGTACGTGAGGCATTACGTAGAATGAAAGGGGGTAAAGCAGCTGGAACTGATGGGATCATGACAGAAATGTTAAATGCAGGGGGGGATGTAGTGTTGGAGTGGTTGGTACTTTTGTTTAATAAATGTGTGAAAGAGGGAAAGGTACCTAGGGATTGGCGGAGAGCATGTATAGTCCCTTTATATAAAGGGAAAGGGGACAAAAGAGACTGTAAAAATTATAGAGGAATTAGTTTACTGAGTATACAAGGAAAGGTTATAATTGAAAGAATTAGAGGTAAGACAGAATGTAGGATTGTGGATGAGCAAGGAGGTTTCAGAGTGGGTAGGGGATGTGTAGATCAAGTGTTTACATTGAAGCATATATGTGAACAGTATTTAGATAAAGGTAGGGAAGTTTTTATTGCATTTATGGATTTAGAAAATGCATATGATAGAGTGGATAGAGGAGCAATGTGGCAGATGTTGCAAGTATATGGAATAGGTGGTAAGTTATTAAATGCTGTAAAGAGGTTTTATGAGGATAGTGAGGCTCAGGTTAGGGTGTGTAGAAGAGAGGGAGACTACTTCCCGGTAAAAGTAGGTCTTAGACAGGGATGTGTAATGTCACCATGGTTGTTTAATATATTTATAGATGGGGTTGTAAAGGATGTAAATGCTAGGGTGTTCGGGAGAGGGGTGGGATTAAATTATGGGCAATCAAATTCAAAATGGGAATTGACACAGTTACTTTTTGCTGATGATACTGTGCTTATGGGAGATTCTAAAGAAAAATTGCAAAGGTTAGTGGATGAGTTTGGGAATGTGTGTAAAGGTAGAAAGTTGAAAGTGAACATAGAAAAGAGTAAATTTGGATATCAAATTGGGGAGGAGGAGTATGAAAGAAGTGAATGTTTTCAGATACTTGGGAGTTGACGTGTCGGCGGATGGATTTATGAAGGATGAGGTTAATCATAGAATTGATGAGGGAAAAAATGTGAGTGGTGCGTTGAGGTATATGTGGAGTCAAAAAACGTTATCTGTGGAGGCAAAGAAGGGAATGTATGAAAGTATAGTAGTACCAACACTCTTATATGGGTGTGAAGCTTGGGTGGTAAATGCAGCAGCGAGGAGACGGTTGGAGGTAGTGGAGATATCCTGTTTAAGGGCAATGTGTGGTGTAAATATTATGCAGAAAATTCGGAGTGTGGAAATTAGTTAAAGGTGTGGAGTTATTAAAAGTATTAGTCAGAGAGCAGAAGAGGGGTTGTTGAGGTGGTTTGGTCATTTAGAGAGAATGGATCAAAGTAGAATGACATGGAAAGCATATAAATCTATAGGGGAAGGAAGGCGAGGTAGGGGTCGTCCTCGAAAGCGTTGGAGAGAGGGGGTAAAGGAGGTTTTGTGGGCAAGGGGCTTGGACTTCCAGCAAGCGTGCATGAGCGTGTTAGATAGGAGTGAATGGAGACGAATGGTACTTGGGATCTGACGATCTGTTGGAGTGTGAGCAGGGTAATATTTAGTGAAGGGATTCAGGGAAACCGGTTATTTTCATATAGTCGGACTTGAGTCCTGGAAATGGGAAGTACAATGCCTGCACTTTAAAGGAGGGGTTTGGGATATTGGCAGTTTGGAGGGATATGTTGTGTATCTTTATACGTAAATGCTTCTAAACTGGTGTATTCTGAGCACCTCTGCAAAAACAGTGATAATGTGTGAGTGTGGTGAAAGTGTTGAATGATGATGAAAGTATTTTCTTTTTGGGGATTTCTTTCTTTTTTGGGTCACCTTGCCTCGGGGGGAGACGGCCGACTTGTTGGAAAAAAAAAAAAATATATAATTATATATATATATATAATATATATATATATATATATATATATAATATATATATATATAATTATAATATAATATATATAATATATTATATATATAATTATATATATTATTTAGATATATATATATATTTATATAATATATATATATATATATAATATATAAATAATATAATATATATATAATATATATGAATATATATATATTTATATATATATATATATATTTATTATTAGTATATATATTATAATATATATATATAATATATATATATATATATATAATTATATATATATATATATATATATATATATATATATATATAAATGTGCTTGTGTATGTACGCGGTATGTAGGAATTGTTTGCTGATCTGGAGATTTTTCAAAGCAGGTAAAATATTCATATCCACATTTGGTACAAATTGAAAAATTATAACACAAAAAAAATTAAATGTTTAACCCTATTTGGTAAAAATAAGGTTCACACTCAGTGGTTAAACATCCTTTTCTTTCAAAGTTCTATGAAAAACACTACTGCCAACCTTTTGCTCAATATCCACATAAAAATTTTCTAACTTTGGATGAGGATTCCATTTAAGTCTGTAGTGAGATGCGGAAGTTAATTAAGAGCAGTTGCCTGGAGAAAACGTGGGAGCTGTGTATAACTTGGAGTAAACACTCCTTTTCTTTTCCCATTCTAATTTCGTTTTCTATCCCATATTATTATTATTATTATTATTATTATTATTATTATTATTAATTATTATTATTATTATTATTTATATTCGAGGACTGCAGTATTTAGCACTGGTTCTGTCTCAAGATGCTTGAGAAAACTATGAAAAAGACATCTAATATTAAATCTTGTTAAATAATTTACACCTGCTAATTACTGCTGTCACTTCCAAAATTTGCTAAACTATTGCTGTCACTGCCTTAACTTGCTAAACCATCGTTGATACTGCCATAACATGCCAAACAAGAATGCAACATGAAAATAAAGATGTATTTATCCCATAAAGCTTTAGAAGCGTGGTTACAGGGACTCTAAGCAGCTGAGTATAGAAATAAACACCCTTCACGGATGATAACAGAAAGCGACAGTCACAGAAACCTAGTAGTACAGTGCAGATAATAGGCTATCAGTATTATGCTCGAAGGAAGGAGAGGCAGCTCCAGTTACTTTAAGTGGGCCTTTTAAGTCACTCACTCTTTTATTCTACACATGTGCACTAGTCTATAAAATCTGTTGATGTACTTCAGTCGCTCCGCAATCCTGGAAATATATCTCCGTTTCCTGGAAGCCCAACCACCTCAACCGGAATAGTACTGAGTGTGGCATAAGTTTCTAATGCAGTTAAACCATTTAAAATGGCGTCCCTTGCCAATGAAAAGGGGCGCTTGATCCTAGGAACTGGACCTTTTCTCCCTTTTCTGGGGTCGAATCTAAATATTTCTACCTCTCCTCCTCCTTATGGGCTTATTACTGGGGATATTTCTCCTTTTGTGAAATCCATTTTCTGAACGTTAGGTGGCCATCTGGTGGGACCTTTGATGAAAGCGTTACTACTGCTGGGGATGTTGGAACGGCAACTGAAGGTAACTCCTGACTCACGAAATCGTAATGACACGATTGCAAACAAACCATACCCCGGCCGGATTGAACCCGCGGTCAGAGAGTCTCAAAACTCCAGCCCGTCGCGTTAGTGGCTAACGCGACGGGCTGGAGTTTTGAGTCTGACCGCGGGTTCAATCCCGGCCGGGGTATGGTAACTCCTGACGTTCTTTCCGGTTTAAACCCTTCCCCTCCCCCAACCATTATAAGCTGAATGAAGTTTGCATCGTTAATGGTTTTGTCTAGTCAGGAAGTTTTGCTAGGCCTCGCCCAGTTTATGCCATCCTGGTGATGTGCATCAGGAAGAGTAGTAAGTGGTTCCCAGGGAACATCAGAACTATCTATCGCATCATAGGCGACCGTGGTTCATAATAATAATTATAATAAATTTAATACTGAAAATGGCCAACAGATAATAGAATGCACTGGTCACGTGAGGCTATCGTGAGCAACGTGCGGTTGAGAGAGAACAACCAGAGGTCCTTCGTGATGCCGAAGGAGCCTCAGGAGTGGGACTCTTCAGCGGTGGAAGCCACTAGCTACGCCTTGTTGGTGTACCTCATCCAGGAAGGTGTGACGCCCCGTGCAGAAGCCATCATGCGCTGGCTCAACTCCGTCAGGGACTGGACATATGCCTTCTCCTCTACTGTGGTAACTAAAGATTCTCTTGATATTATTTACAATTTTACATCATTCCTTCTAACACCAAGACTTATTAATGTTACTATCTTAGATAAAAAACAGAGAGAGTTTCTAATGATAATGTAAGAGAATTTGAATTAGAAAGTGGGACAAATTGAGAATGATAGTGAATGAATATGCTATATAACAATGAGTAAGGTAAATCATATATGACATGGAAGCGGGAGCTGAAGCTGTTACAGGATATAGAGTGAAGATGAGTCTAGTGAAGCTGAAGATATTGAAGCGAGTAATAAAGATAAGGATAGTGAAGATGAGACTAGTGAAAAATGATAGTATTAAGATATATTACGCTTTCAGGATACAGTGGTGGCCATGCGGGCCTTGGCAGAGTACAGCTACAGAGCCAGGTTAAGGGACCTGACCAACCTTAAAGTGGATCTAGAAGCTACTGCCAACCCTGGTGTCATGCATACCTTCTCCATTACCAACCTTTCCGTCTCTTCCTTCCATGCCATGGAGGTAAATATCTCATCACTATAGAAGTCAGTTTATATACACTGTGGAGGTGAATATCTCTGCACAGTTCCCACACCACACAGCTCAGCATTTATGTCTCCACACTATACAGGTTAGTATCTTTACGCACCAAACTATAGATGGCAGTGTCTTTATAGTTAAGAGGGGAATATCAGTGCATTATACTGCTCAGTATCTCCACGCCAGAGAGTATAATTGCACTGTAAAGATGAGTATGAATAAGACACATGTGCAACACCTGGGTATACTTATTATGAAGACGTGTCGCCAACCAGTGGCATTATTAGTTCAGTACAGGGATTATTTGAAGGTGTTGAAACCGTAGACAGTAGAAGGCGAGGTAATCAGTTCTCACGTCTAGATGGTATCTTGATGAGTATGAAGCTGGGTAAGTATTTTCACATTATACGCTTTTAAATACTATATAGGTCAATATCTGTATACCATAAAGGTCAGTATACCTTTAATGGCAGTATCTAATTTCACCATATTTTGAGAGCATCATTTCTTCAGTTCCGCCTCGCAAAACATGTAATCTGCAGTGAACCAAAATTCACATTAATTTCTTTATCAAGCTCTTTTGCCTAATTAATGAGTCTTTTAATAATTTAGATTCTTACAGGCTGAATTTCAAAACACCATTCAAGAAATTATAAAAATTTAAATTTAATAACCTTCACAGGTTCCGCGCCCGTGGGGCCACGTATATCTTGTGGCCAAAGGGTCAGGTCAAGCAGTGGCGCAGATGGAGGTCAGCTGGGGTGTTGACCTCGAGCGCTTCCTAAAGAAACCAGCAAGAAAGTACTTCGACCTCAGCGTCAGCGAGACTTATCACTTCCGTAACAAGACACTTATAAACACCCAAGTGTGTGCCAGGTATGCATGTTTTCCTTGTGTATGTCATGTATAGTGTCATGTGTTGACATCTCGAATACCATCCTCCTGCAACCCTTCGTCAACATCCACCACCCTCAGCTTACTCTTGCAGAACCTTTATTCTCACGTTGACAGGTGGGCGGCAGTGGATGTGTCGAGGACGAGCCATGCAGCCCTGCTGGAGGTGGAGGTGGCCACGGGTTACGACCTGTACCAGCCTCATGCAAATAAGTTCGTTAGGGAGGCGCAGGCAGCTGACTTTCCTCAGCTCATGGATGCCAAGACTGACCCTTCCAGGATATTCTGGCAATTTAACCATGTGAGTACCTTGTTGGTACTTACAGTGCATGTTGGTATTTATAGAGTATTGTAGCATATCGTCCACATCTTACATAACCGATGTGTTATTTCAAAATATGGGGCTGCCAAGCGTTAACATTTCGTTTATGTAATATGCTTCTTGACGATTAGTTATATGTGTTATATATGTATAAGATGTGTTACTGGACTCGCACAGTTTCCTCAGAATTAGGCCTAGCGATAATGATGTCCTGTGAGAACTTTTAAACAATTTTCTTGACAAAAAAAATGCAGCTTCTGTGAGCGATCTATAAGATAACTTGGATTGATAAATGGAAACGTTAGCAATGGGAATGCTCTACTAACCCCATAAATTTACTTTCTTCTTGCGAAACTTTCCATGGTGTCAAATATGATTCATGGTATGTGTAAAACCTGGTAATAGGTTGCCATTTCATATTGGATCGTAATGTTTAAAGCTGCTTGTCTTGAAAAATACAAATATTAAAGTAAACTTAAAAAATATTCATGATTTCGAATGAGAATATGTTGAATATTAGGCTTAGTGTTCTTTATCTTGAATTTCTTTAATACTCATTACTTATTACAAAGTAATAAGTACTGAATATTAAAGTACTTATTACAAAGTAATAAGTACTGAGTATTAAAGGACTTATTACAAAGTAATAAGTACTGATTACTTTTGAGCCCTCAAGCAATTGAGTTTAAAAGGTTTTTGTTTTTCTAAGGAGATGGTATGACATCTTAATTTGCATATCCTAGTTTGTGTACAGAAAGTAACGTAGCATCCCAGTGTGTTCTAGAGGTGGTCGAGTCACATATCGTCGTCTAACATACCAGATCAATAGGCTTCAACTTCATAGATAATGTACTGTATATAGTGTCGGCTACGTCGAGGCGTATTAGCATGACTGTATTTAACTTTATGGTTGTTTTCATTTGTTCTAAAACGAATTGTGAAATATGGTAGGATTCAAAAGAGTAAATACGACTACAGAAGAAATATGCCAGAAGCACAAATGCGCTAGATGTCGTGTGAGTTATGTTAATCCACTCTGAATCAAAACTATTGACAAGATTTGCTATTGACTTCATACACACGAGCTTTGTGTGTATGGTAAATAGCACTGTTTTCATTTAGAGCATGAATGGATACAAGTCACATTGACTAGGTTATCTTAAGTTAAATCTACATAATTTAACACTAATGGAAAATCATACGGAGTGAACCTGAATGAAACTTATAGTATCTTGCATTAATTAGCTCGGCGCAGGAAGCCAAAATGTGCCCAGTGGACCAATGGAAGTATTTGACTGTTGGATTACCCTTGGTTAAATCTTCAAAATTCATTACCATTGTGTGCCCATAAAATGTATAATGCAACGATTTTAGAAAGTTGTAACAAATTTATGAACACTTTTTATATATACCCTAAAATATCTTGTACTTCAGATTGAGAGTGAGAGGTTCCGTTGCTTTAGTTACCAGCTAGTACGACACTTCCCTGCAGCCAACCTTACAGCTACCCGTTCAGCTACCATTATGGAACTCTTCGCCCCAGGTCAGTCAGTTCTTGCTCAGTTCCTTAGTATTAGATGAAGGGTAAGGTATATATGCACAGAGAAGTGTATATATTCTGGAGCTTGAGCATCCGGCAGGCTCTTGTGTGAGCCTGTTAGGAGTGGAGACAAGTGAATTTTAATGTATGTGCTGTTGGAGTGTGAACACAATAACTTTTATGAAGGGATTCAGGGAAACTGGTTAGCTGGACTTGAAAGCCCTGGAGGAAGTGGGGAAATACCATGGTTAAGAATGCCAGAAAACAAAATGCTAGCATGTTAAAAAGGTGCAATATGTTCCAGCCACTAAGGTCAGTATGAAGGTAAAAGAACAAGGTGGCAAAACTGAATACACGAACAAAGAAATAACAGTACACGAAAAAGGTAATGTAACTAGTACATGAAGGTTGTAATAATGGCGTTTTCTTGATTTAGAAATTATATTGGCAGTTTGGAGGGATATGTTGTGTATCTTTATACGTATATGCTTCTAAACTGTTGTATTCTGAGCACGTCTGCAAAAACAGTGATAATGTGTGAGTGGTGAAAGTGTTGAATGGTGATGAAAGTATTTTCTTTTTGGGGATTTTCTTTCTTTTTTGGGTCACCCTGCCTCGGTGGGAGACGGCCGACTTGTTGAAAAAAAAAATACATATTTATATTTATTTATATTTATATTTTTTTGGGTCACCCTGCCTCGGTTGGAGACGGCCGACTTGTTAAAAAAAAATAGTAAACTGATAAAAAATGTTGCAGATTTCCGTAGTTATAGCAGGATAGAGAGAGGTTGTGGAAGTCATGAATGAGATGGAACACCAGCGAGATATTAAACGTTTAAGCAAGGAAGTTGGCAGTGGTGGAAAAGGAGGGAAATACAGAGTAGCAGTATGAAGTGTTTGTAATACTTGGAGGGGTCTTGGTGAATGGAAAGAAGCTAATTGTGGAGTGTGCACGGAATTTGCTTACAATGTTAACCTCGGGTTATGTTGCCTCACACAGCGGAAAAGTGGTACTTGAACTGTTGAGAGGATGGGGTCGAGCGAGATACTATTCATGGGGAAACTAAATCAGTAGGGGTCAGGCAACACTTGGGGAATGAAAAGTAATCAGATTTAATTCAAAGAAGGGAGGCTCCAATTCAGAGGAAGCATATTGTGGGTAAGTATGCTTTGTGAAATTCACGAAAGCTAATTAGCACAGATGAAATGCTATTTAACAGTCTGAAAGTTTTTCACTTCTAGTCACAGTACAGAGTTTGAGGATATACTATAAAAAGGCTATTCTTTCTTATTCCACTATATCTGGGGAGAAAAAGCTTGTTTGAGGATGTTAGATCTGAGCGGAGACAAATGTTCTTTTTTTAATTATAGACGTGCTGTTGGAATTTATGAAAGGATTCAGTAAAACCTGTTAGTTGGACTCGGGTTCTGGCGGCAGGAGGTACAGCTCTTGCGCTCTGAATGAGGGGAGGTGAGGAGGATGTTGCAGTCAGGGGTCATTTTAATTATGATATCAGTACCCTTTTGGTAAGTGACCGAATAAATGATAGTGACTGTTATGGTGGGAAATGGCCGATTTCGTAAATATTAATGAGGGAGGGGAGTATGGAAGAGGTGAATGTATTCAAATATTTGGGAGTAGACTTGTCGAAGGATGGCTTATGAAGGACGAGGTATCTGTGGAAACAAATAACGTTATCCACGGAGGCAAAGGGAATATATGAGAGTATAATGGTACCAACATTTATATGGGTGTGAAGCATGGGTTATGAATGTTTCAGCGAAGAGGAGGCTGGAGGAAGTGATGTCGTGTCTCAAGGGCAATGTGTGGCGTAAATATTACGCAGAGAATTCGTCGTGTGGAAATTAGGAGGAGCGGAGTTACTAAAAAGATGGAGGAAGGGGTTAAAAGAGGTTTTGTGTGTGTGTTAGATAGTGAATGAAGACGAATGGGTTTTTGGGACTTGACGAGCTCTCGTAATATTTTGTGAAGGGATTCAGGGAAACCAGTTAACCAGACTTTTAATCCCTATTTTTGGGATTTACGTATTCTTGTCTAGTTTTGAAAAACGTTACGTCGAGCCTTAATAATCCTTGTGTAGTCGACAGGCTCTAAACCCCCTTTAAGAGTATGCTTATTCACAATAAAGCGAAGTAAAATAATTTCAGAGAGCATTACAAGTAAACCTTTATATGCAAATGAGAAATTGTACTGTATGTTACCAGTTGTCCTGTGAAAGGTTCCGGTTCCAGTTTGATTCGCCAGCATAATCCCGGCCCGGGTATGTCCATGTGGTGACCCGGCGCTCTGAGAGGGAAGTCGTACCAGATACGGTATGTTACCAGTTGTCTTCTGAGAGTAGAGACGTACTGGATGCCACTAACTCTTTAACTATCCTTCAGTGGATTTTGAGGTGTGAATGCTGTCTCGTGTAGTTATATAGAGCTTCCTTTTAAGGCAGTGTGAACTAACCAGGCCAACCAGTGGTGGTCTTGACCAGGTCCCTCACTGTGGAATTACGACCCAATCTGGTATACGCCATTGCCTCCAGTCACGACCTTCGCATCACACATATTTACTTTTTTATATACAATGTGCGTACATTATGTTAGGTATTGGAATGTCCCACACTATAGAGAGATATCCCAGTTATTTTCGGACCTTCTTTGCAGGCGAATGTATATCTAACCCATCACATTGAACTTTAACACCATACATCATATCTTTTTACCTTACCTCCCCATTATACGTTTCCGTAACTACTCAAATATAAGTTTCAGTATACTGCGTCATAATTTTCGTATGCTGCCCTCATTATGCGTTTTCGTATACTGTTTAGACTAGCACCTCTAACGCTGCACTCGTTGCCAACAGAGCACTTCGAGACCACCATGATCAACTCGACATCGCTAGCTGCTCTGGACATCTGCGAAGTGTGCGGCTCTTATCAATGCCCTTACTGCCCGTACTATAGCGGCACTGCTGACCTCCCGCTCCTGGACACAAGATTCGCAGCTCTATCATTCATTCTCGCGATTTTAGGGTCCGAAATATTAAACATGGTAGCTTAGGAAATATTATATTGCTTACTGTTATTAGATTATTAGTGCATATTTGTATAAAAATGTTATGTAGTTGAATTAGTGCAAAAAATAAACTGCATATATTATGTATGTAATCAGAAACTTTAGGTATCCCCACCTAGTTTAATTAGGCATCCCGGGAATGGGTTTTACCTACTTTTGTTTTCCATTACTTGGCTTTCATGCAATAACATGAGTATACTTAGAAAGAAAATATGGACGTGGTGTTTGCTTTGAAGCACATAAGTGAGCAGTACTTAGATAAGGAAAAATATGCCGTTTGTTGCACTTATGAATTTTAGAAAAGGCATGTGACAAAATGCAGAGAGATGTGGCTACTACTTGAAATATGATGAACATTGTAAGAGCTATGATCTTAATACATTATGAAGTCAGTTTAAAGTGAGAGTTCTCATAGCTGTTATTTTACAGATTATACAGTGCTAGTAAGAGGTTCAGAAGTTGGAAACGTTGTTCGAATTTGGAAGGTGGTGTTGAAACAAAATATTAAAAGAATACAGAAAAGACTATGTAATAAAGACAGAAGTATAAGAACGCCTGATTAAAGGGCACTGCAAGGAACATGAAAATTTAAAATATCTAAAGACTTAGAAATGGGGATATCAGCAAATGTGTATATGAAGGATATTAGTATATTCATGGGAAACCTCTAAACACAAGGAGTCATACAGCACTTGGGGAATGGGAAGTACATGTATTCAGGTTTGATCAAAAGGAAGAGAAATTCTCCAAAACCACAGAATAAATGAAATCGAAAGTAACAAAAGTTTAGAGCAATGTAGAAAAGAAATTGTCAATGGATCAAAATGTGTGAGTTGAGTGGTGAGGGCATTTGTATGTTGGTGACTCACATTGTTTGAATGTTTCAACAAGTAGAATGCTGAAGGAAGGGCAGATATCATGTGCACGTTCTAGTTGTGTCATGACTTGCATACACACAATAGAGATAGAAGAGATTGACGTTGACAGGGACACATTTGCACACTTTGCTCTTAAGTAGAGTTTTATCAAGTCATGGCTTAAAAAAAAAAACTGCTTAGAGTGAAAAATTGTACCAATGAGGGTTTGTTCTGCATACTTCTGCCTTTGTCTACAAAGTTGTTGGTGTTATGTCCTTTAAATTCAAATTTGAAAACGATACGGTGGTGTGAAGATATAGATGAGAGGGTGAGAACCTAATATATAATATTGCTTATGCGTCTTGAACCATGCTGAGATTGATTGATCTTTCATGGTTGGTGAATTGCTTTGATGCCTGTGAAGGGGTCTTGATCCAAGGAATTGGAATTGCACTCATTTTCCCTGGATCAAACCTAATTACCTCCCATTCCTCAGGTACTGTTAGACCTCTACAGGACTAACGCTTTCCTATGAAATGACTTCAGTGTGTACGAAGACTGAAGAAAATTAATAGTAAATGTTAAAAACTTTTTTAGAAATAAATGTTTATATACACTCAAACACTTGGCTACGTACTGACGTGTGTATATTGTAACTTCAAACATTTTAAATGTTTACGCAGTATAAATTTGCAATATAAGTTTGCTTAATTTTCTGTGAGCTCTGTCACGTAGCATGATAATATTTTTTCATTATTTAGTATTTTTTTATTGAAAATTGAATTTGATTATACGTAAAACCAGAGGGGAATCAAACCCGAGGCTACGCGTGTGCAAAGGTAGCTCAGTGGTGCTTATGAGAGAGGAACCTTCAGTGTCAATATAGAATTGAATTGTTTTTTAATATATTATTGTAAGTAAATTAGCGTAAAACAGGACGTGAATCGAACCCCAGGCTTTGTGTGTGTTTGTGTGTATGTGTGTGTGTGCGTGAGAGAGAGAAAGCTTGCACTTTAGCATTACACTGGGATGGTTATACTGGCCAAGCAGTGTGGTTTATTTCTGTTGAGGGCCTTCGTTCCTCTCTCGTATGACGCTATCAACAACACTTCCTCTTATGATTCGTGAAATCGTACTAACATGATTGCAGACAAATCTGTGTTTTAGTTCCTGTTATCTTGTTCCTGCTAGGTGAACAAGGGCAGCAGATGTAATTTGTGCCCATTCATCTTGCCTCACCTAGGAAATGAATCTTGGTGAATTGAGCAGGTGTGAGCTGAATGCTCTACCATTGAGCTACGAGTAACCCTGTGTACCAACGAGGGCATTCATAATGTCATGGAAATAAAATAATTAAGAAAGTGTAAAAGTTAAATTATTACAATAGATGTTGCTACTTAACTAGAAGAAAAATGTTAACTGTGTTTAACATCACAGTAATGTCGCAAGTGAGGTCCATCAAGGATCAGCTATTATCCTGAGGATTGTTGCTTTATCTCTTATCTACCTAACTGAACATTTGAATGTGTTTGTGGCTTATGGAAAACTCTTACATAAAGTACGAAATCAAAACGTTATTTTTTTAAGATATGGGCAGCATGACCAACCTTTCCCTTGGCCGAATTACACCAAATACTAAAAAATGAGCACAACAGAATGGTTCTTAAAAGCACCCTTTAAAGTCAATATATATTTTGCACTGGGGTCTTGCATGCGATTATTCTCAGTACGAATGATAGACAAATAGACGAATGACGGACAAACATGCACGCACGCGCACTAGCATTGTATTGTTAATTTTATCTTTTTTTTTCTTAGGCATTGTATTTAATTTTAATTGCCAAGATGGCTGAATGATCCACTCTCCTTTTGTGAAATTCAAAGGTAAAAGGGACCACTGTGAGCCCTATTCAGACGTAGCTTCTGTTGGTAGTACAGTTGTAGCCATGTTACTTCAGCTGATGGAAGCTAGATAATCTTAATACATGTCAGGTGCCCCTGTGAGACATTGGGTACCCATCTGACAGAATTATTACCGGAGGTTGACTGTAATCTAAAAGGGCAACTGAAGGTACTAGACGCCTGGCATTCATTCTGGTTCTCCCACCGGCATTATTAATGAAAGACAGTTGCATGATTAGTTGTCTAATCAGGCGATTTCGCCAAGCCTAGCTCCGGCAGCTCATCTTGGTATTGTGCATCAGACAAAGTAACAGGTGGTTTCCAAAGAACAATAGTACTACTTGTTCCAACGGAGGTGATCGTGAGTCACCGTGGGTAAGTGGTTTCTTTTCGCTCATTCTCGGAACTGACCAGTATTTCTTTGCTTTATGATAAATGAAACGATCTGATTCTCGTGGATTCCTAGTGACAACGACTCATTTTAAAGACTTGCTGGGAAATGGAATACCAGAATTTGGAATCACTTTCGGTACCAGCATTGTACTTATTCCCTTTGGTTCCTCTGACCTCTGCCTCACTGTGCCCATGGAACTGCCTTTTCCCATAATGCAACGACGATTCACGGACAGTGACTTGAAGAAATCTGCCAAGAGAACAACAGGGAAACAATGCTGACATAAGGCATACACCTCGATCACACACCATTGACAAAAATCTTCCAAACCCGACATTAGATGTTTTTTTTTTTTTTTTTAGCTGCACACAACCAATCTCGAAGCATACGCTAAAGCCCACATACTCGCACAAGCACTCTTGATACATATCGGTAATGGCATCTATTTCTACTAGTCTTGTATAACCTCACACGGTCTTACAAGACAAAATTAGCAGTGTAACACCTAAGCAATAGGGCTGAAACTTATATTTGCACTGCTTGCGTACGGATAAAATACTCAACCAATATGGCTAAACCGAAGTTCGGCAGATAATGAATTTCTCCCATTTCCACTCATTATAAATAGGTCAATTTCTTTCAGCCCTAATCCTGTAAGTTAGATTACGAGAACGAAATAGATTCCGCAGCCTTCCCACTTACTCTTAAGAAACTCGATGGCATTCATCATGAATAACCTCTCTCTGGAGTCCTTTAATATTTTGTATGTTTCCACAAACTTCACGACCCATATAGAAACAGAATAATGAAAAGCGTAAATGAGATTTATTTATTTAATCGTCGACTTTGTTTATTATGGCCTTTTGACCTGTGGCAATGTATTTCAATTCGCATCCCCGTTTCCTTTGCGTGTGGAAGCTCCGACGACTCTCAGTTCTTCCCTCCAGGGCCTGAAGACCACTGCATCTGCCTCAATTTTGCCTTCCTTCGAATATTTTTACTTGCATTCTCATGAGTCAGTGTACACCGACCACTGCAAATCCGCGAATAATATAGGGCATACAGATGTTTTTCCAGATGAAAGGACACTAGATTCAGACAGCTTTTTTTTCATTATATACGTGTTGCAACAATATCAACTTCCTCGTTCGTTATTAGTTCAGATTCCCCAGATGCATAATATGCTATCCAGAGATTTGATGCCTAACAACTTATTGTATTTCGCATACATCAATGCTTATGTTGTATTTCAAGCACGATCTGCCAGTTTCTTACAGGAGGTTCATTTTCTGAGTATTTTCTAGTGCTCTCAGAGCCCTATACCACTCTGTTAGGACTGCCAAGTACCTCTTTAACAAATTTACCGACATGACGCACAAACTTTTAACCGTCCTCCTTGCCGAAAGTCCCAGACACAATATTTATTGCTTTTTAATAAAAACTAACTTATTCCTATAACTATGACGTTCATTTTACACCCCCCTTAACGCTTGTTCCTACCTTTACAATCCAGTCCACTGTTGCACTGTATGATCTAGAGAGTTATAGTAACTGTTTTTAAATATAATAATAATCACAGGCACTGTGTTATGACTAGTCTTATAACCTTCTTGGAATCTGATCAGCCTAACAATCTTACAGTATTTTTTTTCATGTTTTCAGTAACAAATTATGGTAAGAGGAAAAATTCCAGCAACATCACTAAGGTTACACCATTAGTGCCTCAGGTCGGAAGAAGTGCGAGTCAATATTTGCGTTGCGGGTCGACAGAAGAAAATAGATGCCTGAAGTGTATAGAATCGAAGAAAATGTTTTTGATTGTCAGACCATAAACAGCATCAGATAATGATGTTTTTTTACGATCGTCTCTAGCATACGAGTGAAAAGAAGGGGAGGAGACTGGATGAAATGGTAGGTCGACTGGTTATCCGTATACCTGGAGAGAGTACTGTACCCTGAGGAACAGAGCTTTTCACCGTAACTGTCCCAAACTTTACTCTGTTTACTATTACTCTTTGTGTTCTATTTGTTTGGAAGTTATAGATCCATCTACCAACTTTTCCTGTTATTCCTATTTCACGCATTTTGTGCGCTATTACACCGTGGTCGCACTTGTCGAAGGCTTTCGCAAAGTCTGTGTATACTACATCTGCATTTTGTTTATCCTCTAGCATCCAGGATATTGTCATAGTGGTCCAGTAGCTGCCCTACATCATGCAAACTCGGGGTTGACCTCTTCAAAAGGGCGGTCTGATGCTGGTGAGATTTTTTTTAATTCAAGGAAATGGACCTATCCTTCGCATCCTTGGCTCCAACACCTATATGCCTCTCATTCACCAAGCACTGTTTGACTCTGAAGAAACAAACAGATGCCAGGGGTGGGGGAAGGGTGGCTCTTGATTCAAGTAATTGGACCATCCCTCTCCTGCCTAAGAAGTATTGCCATAATGCATCAACTGGTATCTTGGAGGACCCAACCTGGGAATATAAATACTGAGTCTCGCCTTGATCCCAAGCAGCTTTAACTGACCTGCAGATATCGGGAGCTCCGGGAGTGACAGCTTTATTTGACCGGCAGATATCCGAGGGAATTCTGGGGGTGACAGCTTTCTCCCACCAGGAAATATCGGAGGAATGTCCGGGGGTGACAGCCTACCCGAAGATATCGGAGGGATGTTCGGGAGTGACCGCGTTATCCTACATACAGGTATCGGAGGAATTTCCCAGCGTGACAGCTTCACCCCACCTACAGATACTGGAGGAAGTTCCGGGGTGCACTCCATACTACAGGCTTCAGCCCAGTCTGTGTAGGAGCTTCCCTTGCTGCCTGCAGAAGCCAGGAAGACAGCAATTTCACACCCTTAATAAAGGTTAGTACCAAATATGAATAAAAAAAATCAGTCATTCGTAATAAAGGTGAATACCAATCATTTGTAAAGGTGTGTTTGCTTATTTGTATTAATGATGAACACCACTCATTCGTCATGAAGATCGGTGTCACACATTCGTAATAAAAGTGAGTACCATACAATCTTGAAGGTCGGTGTCACATTTGCAATAAAGATCAGTGCCACACATTCGTAATAAGTGGCAGTCTTCCTTAACACAGGTGTCAGTTTTACTTAGTGTCTATTCTTAGCCATATTTAGCTGGTATAAACCAGTTTTACAACAAAGTGTAGGAAGTGATTAGCTTATCCAGATCCCCTTACCCAAGGAGTGGATGGTCCACACGGTCACCCATCCAGTTAGTGGTCGGCTCCGACGGTCCTGATCCAATCCATTGACCAACGCCCATTTAAAAAATAAGATGTTTATTTATTTAGAATACACTGAGGTTACAGCGGATGGTTTAGAATGTTTCGTTACAATTTTAGGAAAACATTGTGCTACATATTTTAGATCAAATTCTTTGTCATGCAAAGCATTTTGGCCAGCCTAATTCTAGGTCTTAAAAATTATTTAATTGTAGGCTGGGTAACAAATCAGGATGGATATTTTTATGCACACTGTAAAAGCTAGAGAATTATTATAAAAATTTACGTATAATTAAAGTACAAAAGAAATGGGGTAATAAAGATAGCAGAAAAACAATTATTTTAGATTATGCTGGATTTACATTAATTAATAAGGAATATTGTTTGGAATATGAATTGCAGTTACACTTAATTGGTTGGTGAATGTAGTGTGTAAGCGTTATTATGCATCTCATACCCATCCTGTGACAGGTAGTCAAAAACTTAAAAAGACACATGGACCCAGGGACTGGGCACCAACATTTTATTAGCTGCTACAATATGGTAATACATTATTTAAAAAATAAATTGATCAATAATGAGTTCGTTACACCGTTTATAAATTCAGCCTCTCGTATGCCTTCTTTACTTGCCACCATGAAAATATAGTCTCATAATTCTTACGATATAATTTATCAACTTGTCTTCCTCTTTTCTGAAGAGTTTCGTGTGAATAGTATTCTCACTCTCAGCTAGGTACTCTAATCATGCCCAGAGAAATACATCAGATACTCTTGGCTCAGTCATACCCCAACCATACTGACTTTATTGGCTTAGTCTACATTAAATATGCACAATATACCATTATTAATAAGCACGCTTTAAACTTTCAAGTGCCTTCAGAATCATTGTACAACTATATAATGGTCTATAAATTACTTGTAGATGTCTTGAATATAGCTTATCATATACGGGTATATACACTAAGAGGTGTATATCTAAGTGAATATACACTTGAGTTTAATTAATCCCTATTTTAGGGATTAAAGTATCCCTCACTGGTAACGTAAAACGTTATTTGTAGGTCTTAACGAACTTCGTGTAGTCCTTAGGCTTTTAACCCAACACACCAACCTTAACGCCCATATTAGGCAGGTCCAACTCACACCCACTCATGTACCCGCCCAACGAATATTTAATCAAGGATACCCAAATTTCTCACTTCAGTGACGCTATTCGGCAATTTGTTCCAGCCATGACGAATTAGACACATGTACAACATCTTCACACGCTGAGGTGTCTGGGTCTGATTCCCTGCAAGGGTGGAAACGTTGGGCGTGTTTCCTTTACACCTGCTGTCCATGTTCACCCATCAGTAAAAATGGGTACCTGGGTGTTAGTGGACTGGTGTGGGTCGCATCCTGCGACAAAACTTAATAATATGCCCAAAATGCTCAGCATAACAAGCGGCTTTCTATACAGTTGTGTCATTGATGTCAGCTAGGACTGTATATCTTGTACATGTACTTGTAGAAATATAATATTATTATATTATTAAAGATGAGGTAATCAGTCCTTCAGCCTTGAAGGACCTGAAGCACAGTCATGGAGCGCCAAGCTCTAAGACAGGACTCGTAGCATTGTATTCAAGTTAAATAAATTTAGATGTAGAAAGGATACAGGGAAGTATTGGTTTGGCAAAAGAGTTGTAGATAAGTGGAGCAAATTCCCAAGTAGCGTCTCAAATATCTTACCAAATATGTATAACATTAAACCTGAATATCCATTTTCTTCGGATTGTTTTTCATCTTTATCTCTGTAAGCTGCTTCAGATTTCATTAAAATGGTTTGAAAACGCCTGAACACACGCTTCCAGAAATTAACAGCATTAGATTTTTTTTTTATAAAAAATAATTATTGGTTCATATTTGGTTAACATTGCCTACTTGTAAATGCAACTTTTCAGGATGGATTCTTAATATCGGCAATAATTTTTGTTGTACTCTGCCGTTAAAATAGGGCACTACATGGCAAGTCTTCAGATAAAGCTCATCTGCTTGAAAGTTACATATTCAGTCAACTTAATTGTTATTTGTCAGCAGTCAAGAACTGTAGAATATCGATATCATCTGGAGTAATTTGGGCTCTCTGACGAATTTCCTCAAACCTGTAGTCGTGCAGTAGTTTTCCGTTCTCAAACACTGGGACGAGCAAGTCCTGTAGTCCATACAAAACATTATATTTCTTACTCATACGTTTAATTTAGATGTAAAAGTTATTTTATACGTATACTTAAAACCGGAAACCAGTGTTTGAATTACATATGTGAAGTCAACCTGCAGCCGCAATTTTTTGACACATTACTTAGGCCACTTAAAAGTAATTCTTACCTTCTCTGGGTCACCTTTCCCGTGTTCAATAGTTATGTAGTTTTTGTTGTGTGACTGAAGGGTAAGACGACCCTTCTTGCTGTTCTTGCCAGTGTCGGTCATGGGTTGCTTGTACACCTCTCTCTCTCTCCCGTCTACAACTGCAAAGCTGCACTTGAACGCGAAGTTCAGAATATCTCGATTGATCTGTAGACAAACCAAGATGAAACACTGGACTGAGAGAGTAGCACGTCTGCCTGGTAATTAGCAGACAGGGGATCGAGTAGTGACGCTAGACAATTCACTGATTAAGCATGTTATATATTCACAATTTATACAAACCGAAAGGTGTTGGTAAACCCACATCGTTAACTTTTGTAAAGCCAACGAAGTTGGAGCTTAAGCAAGACTTTCTACTTAAGCCAAAAGTCAATGTCGCCACACTAAGAACGTAACTGATTTTAATGTTATACATTTTATTTTAGCTTTTGTGTTTTAAAAGTCGAGATCCCTTGTAATCTTAACTCAATAGATCATAACTACGACGTAAACTTAATACAATAATATTAAATGAAAATAAAACAGATTGAAATAGTTGAATATAAAGTAGACATAATATTCAAACTTGCAAAGACACATGATCTGGGATCTATTTACAAATTATAGTGAAAATCACACGCCCAAAACAAAGCAAGGCTTGAAATTATGCAGTATTTTGTTTGCCTTATTAACGTATGGTAACTAAACCCTGAAACAATCATTGTGAGGTTCCACTTTCACCATTCATCAAAGTAGCGGAAATATTGTTACTTTACACTTTAATTTTGTCATACTGATATACAGATATGAATAACCAATCCTAAGAGTCTATGCTGCTGGCATCGTTCGTAATTTTTGTTAGTACTACTGTACATTACCTTCTGTAGGAGGGAACTCCCCGCACCCAGCTTGAAGTTGCCCGTTGACCATCCATGACGCTCTGTAGTCCTCAAGATGTTGACTGTAGGAATAAGTTCGACTTCATCAGAGCTGAAACTCTGAATATATGGATAAACAAAGCACAACTACATTAATATTAAACGGAAACGTGCTCGCACATTTCTTCCCTTTAAAGGGATACTTTGATGCTGGTCAAAGGCTCTTTGTCCAAAGAATTAGGTTACCTTCCCCTTCCTCGGGTTAGACGTCTTCCATTCACCATGCGCTGTATGATTCTTACAGGTTTAGTGCTTCCCAGTGAACACAGTAATAATCACGCATTCCTAGAATGTTTCCCAGTCATGGACCGGGCCTCGGGGGCGTTGATCCCCAAAACACCTTCCAGGTACTCTCTCTACATAACTTCACTGGAATATGGTAATTTTCACAATATCCTGAATTAAAATATAACTCCCATATATTAGTAACTAGAGCCCTGTCCAAACTAAACCTTTAAAGTGCCATAGTGGTAGTAGTATTTTGCTTGTCAGCAGAAACAGGGAAAAAATTTTCTAATAAGGAACGTGATTACATGATCCGTGAACCTTTTGGTCATTTGACAGACTCTTAAAGCTTGCTTACCGCATATTATAGAGATCACAGAGTAGTATTAAATTGCCCTCCTAGTCTCCCAGCTCAGGCTGACACATTCCGTTACCTTATGTCATATGTGTGATCGCATACGACATGGAGATATAATTAGCTTTTGTTCTAACAATGCAGTTATATAGAATAGGGTGGTAGCACACTGATGATGTACCTAATTATATAGAATAAGTTTTATAATTTCTGAGATTACTAATACTTTTAGGAACCTTCAAGCAGAGTGACTGTAAAGATTACGTGTATTTCTGTTTTAAATTTTGTGATATATATTCTTTTTTTCAAATAGTGGATATGAATAGAACTGACTTACCGAGAGACTGAATATTGATGCCGTCAGAGTGAAAGACCTGCAGGAAAGAAGGTAGCATCTTGTAGCCCTTGTTGTTGATCTCCGTCCCGAAATGTTGTCCCAAAATCTCCAGACACTGTAGGAGGGTCATGGGTACTGCAGTGCGATTCATTTTAATACCCTAGCACATGCACACAACCCCAAAACAATAACACTTGCCTTGATTGGATTGGATAGCTTTATTATTCATGTAGATAAAGACACATGAACAGTTTAATTAAGACACTAATTGAGGAAACGTTACGCCACAAGTGGCTGAAGAAGCCACTTGTGGCTTAAGAGGCTGTGCATAAGCCTTCAACCACTCGTGGCTGAAGTTGTGAATATGTATCTTCAGCCACTTGTGCTGATGAGGCTGTCCATGTCTTTATCTACACACTGTGGGTATCACCATGCTTCCCCAGGCCTTATTACTCATGCCCCAATCATCCTGTGGGCAATGTCAAAAAAATTATTGGCCCCCGTTAAGGTAGCATTGAATTATTTACAAGAATATTGGATTCAGTTAAATATAAAATAATAATGGAAATAATAGTAATAATGATAGTGATCCTTTCACTTAATCGTAATTATTATTAGATTTATATGCTTATGTGAACTCCTAAACCCTTGCGCGCCATACAGCGCTTGGGGGAATGAAAGGAATTCAGGTTCTTATCCTAGGAAGGGAAGGGCTGGTCCAATTTCTTAGATCAAGAGCTCTTTGGACCCCTCAAAGGAACTTCCTTTGGGGAGACCATGTCTCAGGTTTGTGAAGTTCATTTTGTTCTTCTGGCAGTTAATTAAAGGCCAATGGAATAATGAACTGAACAAGTGGACTGACACCTGGTCTCGACCCCTGCAACCACAAATAGGTGAGTACCGATGCTTATATTATCGTTGTTGTTGTTGTAATTATTATTATTCATGGGAAGTGTTAAACCCGTAAGGGTTATATACCACCTTCCCTTCGTTATGTTATGCCTGTGCCTGTCTTCGGACAGGATAAAATTCTAACAACTCCGGGACAAGGAAAGGCATCATGAAACACTGCGGGACAACACCCACCTTGAGAACAGCAGTGGCCGGGTCGTCGCTGTCGGGTCGCACCGTCAACACTCCTCCTTTCTGACCATGTTCTTTCACCAGGTCCTTCAGCTGACCACATATGATCTCCTTAAGACATTTATACATGTCATACGAGTCTATCACACACGATACAGGCCCTAAAAATGTATTACCACTCTTAAAGCAAGAATATTCATTACATGATGCATGGCCTATATGGGGAAAATATCAGTTGTTTATTAACTTTATTTTTCAGTAAATGTGTTGTTTTGGTTAGTTATACATATATACCCTTAATATTAGTGTTGTTACAAAAAAATCTCTTATCTATGCATAAAGATTTATGGAACAATACACAAAAAAATTAAGGCGTTTCCGGCAATTGCCAGATTAATAAGTGACGTACAATAAAGTGAGAGGCGCCATACTTCCTGGGTAAGTGTTGAGCATGTGTGTGTAAGCGTCTGCTTCCCGATGTCGTCCCCAAGACGTGACTGATGAGTGTTCAGAACACGGATCTGCATAACCCCAGGGCGTCTTCAAGTGGTAGTACTTTCTCAGTAAGCACAACCCAGCCACTGTACCTGTAATCTGTTATATTCCCATTTAGATCACCTGAAGCTTCGTCATTCCCTCCGCGACTCCTTCCCCCCCCCCCCCAAAAAAAAAAATTAACTAGAGTTAAGGAATTTCTTAGTTAAGTAAATTAGACTGTTTTATATAACGAGAATTTTACGAAGGTTAGGGTTGGTTATGTTTAGTTTTAGTAAAAAAAAATGAGATACTTTTGTTTGTATGAGAAGAACCCCTAAACTAGCAGAAGGCCCAGCTGTGTGACCTGATTTTACGCAATATTAATATTTTTTCTTATACACATTTTTAAAAAAGAAAAATCTGACCTTAAAGTGGATCAGGTTAGCAGCGCCTCCTATGGCACCACTTTCAATGGATGAAACACCGCGGTACCCACAGTCATGCAGCTGTAATTGTGAAATACACCTCTAGTTTATATCGCTTGAAAATTTATACTATATCTAAAAATAATATACATATTACTTTGTAAAGATGTATATTGTATATAAAATGAGTTTAATACCTATTTTAGAGGTTAAAGCATTCTTGATGATAGTGTAGAGCTTAAGTACAGTCTTAATGACCCACGACCATTTAATAGGCTTTAAACTTAACACAATAACTTAAAAGTTATAACGAGTGTAACTTACAGAAGACTCAAGTTGGAGAAGGTTGTCGTTTGTAAGGGACAGGTAGTGATGTAAGATTTGCTTGTAGACTCGGGAGATGGTAGCAACCGTGGTGGGGTACCACACCTGGACCAGCAAAGTCTGTAATATACACAGGCCTCTCAGAGTAAATTAAAAAAATAAACACACTGTTACGATCTATTAGTATTATTATGGTCACGGGGAAGCGTTAATTAGTATATAGCGCCTAGGGAACGGCAGGTAATCAGTTTTGTTTCAAGGAAGAAAACTGATCAAAATTCCAAGAGCCCTTCAAGATCGATGCTTTTATCTTGTGCAAATACTGAGAGGTAAGGAACTTCCACGACCGAAATTAAGCATTGATACGGAAGATAGTTAAGGTGGATGCTCGTGACTTGGGTGATAGCGTTCTTAGCTCACACACTGAGGGTACGGAGAACGATCCCAGCATGGGTGAAACGTTGTGCATTTTTTCTTACACCTGTTACTCCTCTTCACCTAGCAGTAAGTAGGTACCCGGGTGTTAGATGACTGTTGTAGGTCGCATCCTAGGGAACAAGATTAAAGTAAGTTGCCCAAAATGCTCTACATAACCAGGGTCTTTCTATATAGTATACCAGTGTCATCTAGGTTTATAATAATTGTATCATGTATTTGTAGAAATAAAGATTATTATTAACGTGATATGATGATACCGACGAGTTATAGTTAAAAGACACATGTGTCTTTTAATTGAGGTAACGTTTTGCCACAAGTGACTTCTTTTGTTTTAATACAGAGACAACTAAGCAACGAGTATATATAGTAATGACGGGATTCAAGTGGCAAGCTGTAAGAGGGTGGTAGTAGTATCAGTATAACAACCATAGTGACATGGGTAAGGTTTGAGAATAACCTGTCCGCAGTGGAGCAATATATTAAAAGCATCATCTTGGGTAATCTCAAAAGGCTGGACAAATGTAAATACAAGTAGGTTGGTAGACATCCTGGTGCTGTAATGTACTCACCTAATCGTGGTTGCAGGGGTCGAGACTCAGTTCCTGGCCCCGCCTCTTCACTGACCGGTACTGGATCCTCCCTCTCCCTGCTCCATGAGCTTTATCATACCTCATCTTAAAACTATGTATGGTTCCTGCCTCCACTACATCACTTGCCAGACTATTCCACTTCCTAACAACTCTGGCTGAAGAAATACTTCCTAACATCCCTTTGGCTCATCTGAGTCTTCAACTTCCAACTGTGACCCCTTGTTTCTGTGTTCCATCTCTGGAACATCCTGTCTTTGTCCACCTTATCTATTCCACGCAGTCAGCGCTGTATAGCCCTTGTGGCTTAGCGCTTCTTTTTGATTATAATAATAATAATATTCCACGCAGTACTGTTTATGTCGTTATCATGTCACCCCTGACCTTCCTGTCCTCCAGTGTCGTCAGACTGATTTCCCTTAACCTTTCTTCGTAGGACATTCCCTTTAGCTCTGTCATTCAATGGCCGTGTTAATGTGTAGCACTGTAACATTCATTTGGCCAAACGATAAATGTCTTGATCATTGTATGTCTGTCTTACTCCTACAGATGGAGGATACTTCAGACTGTTGTCCTAACCATCCATTATTACGTCTGATTTATTTTACTGGGGTTTTGGCCTGGTTTACAACAGTCAAATACATCACGGCAACACCAGACAACTAACAATATTTTCATGAAAAAAAAGGCACAATACCGTGACTGGAACAATACACAAATAACCCGCACATAGAAGAGAGGACTTAAGAAATCGTAATGACACGATTGCAAATAAACCATACCCCCGGCCGGGATTGAACCCGCGGTCATAGAGTCTCAAAACTCCAGCCCGTCGCGTTAGCCACTAGACCAGCTAGCCACAATAAGATTCATCCAACTAGGTATATTTCTACACCATAGGAAAGTTAGCACAGGCACCTCTGTGACCACAAATGCAAATGTAAAAACTTGCATTTGTGGTCACAGAGGTGCCTGTGCTAACTTTCCTATGGTGTAGAAATATACCTAGTTGGATGAATCTTATTGTGGCTAGCTGGTCTAGTGGCTAACGCGACGGGCTGGAGTTTTGAGACACTATGACCGCGGGTTCAATCCCGGCCGGGGGTATGGTTTATAGAAGAGAGGAGCTTACGACGACGTTTCGGTCCGACTTGAACTATTTACAAAGTCACACTAATGTCGTCGTAAGCTCCTCTCTTCTATGTGCGGGTTATTTGTGTAAGAATATTTTCATTTGTGATACAAGCTATGGTTCTTGCTTTCACATATCAAACCTGATTACCGCCTATTTCCTAGTAGCTGTATTCTATCCTCATGAATATAATAATATTGCCTGAAGGAAATTGTTAATTTAGGGCATGCACTTAAAATAATTTGGTGATGTACATGTGTAACAACTAACTTGGTGATCCCAAGTACCATTTCAAATAGGCACATTACTCAAAGATGTTGATGTTTAACTGCGCGTACTTTGAGAACTCAGGTGTTCCAAGGCATGATGTATACACAGTACTTGAGATAAGTTGGTGACTACATTACACATTCTAAAAAAAAAATTGACTTTGTACGCACCACAAAGAAGTTATTGCTTTAATGAACGTACCTCGAAGAAAGTGGTAACCCACGGCACTGCAGGGTCAGTGTTCTCGACGGTAAATAAGACATTCCTGGTAGGAACGTTGGTTCCCTCTGGCACAGCCTTGATTCGCAGTGGTAGCCGACCTCCATGATGCTGCAATATGACGCAAGTTCATCAACCTCCAGAAATATTCTCAGTATGAAGGAACAGCAGCAGGCCTATGTTAGGCAAGTCCAATTCACACACACGTGTAATTGTCAAACCCAAAATTCTTGCCGCAGTGACGATATATGGGAGTTTGTTCCACCTATCTGCAATTCTATTGTAACGGTATTCCTACCCCAGTAACTTCATAATGCCCGTCTACCCTGTTTACCATAGCGCTCGCTAGGGAGCCTGCTCAGAGGTAAGCCACTGTGGTCTTGCCTTCCCCTCACGTCTGGTCTACATAAGCTTATTTTTCCTGTCTTACGTGTACACTACATTACCCCAATTCCTAACTGGAGGCAACCCTACATTACTACACTATCACTATTACCAAATCAGTACTTTCCTATATATCCTTTCCAAATCTAAATAAATCCAACTGGAATTCATTGCTGCGAATCCTGTCTATATTGGGCATTTTCAAACGCTTCATTTTTTCATGTTTTCCATTTATATACTTCAGTCATATCTCCCCCAATTCTATGTCCTCCCAAAGAGTGCAAATTCAGTGCGTAAGTCCCATAGTTATTTTATTTTCCTAAGATTAGAACCTTATACTTGTCTACATTGAACTGCATCTACCATTTCTGCGACCATAACATTAACCTATCCAGGTCATGCTGTAGCTTTTTAGTATCCTCATCAGAATTTATTTGACCGCCAATTTTACTGTCATCGGCAAACTTGCTTATGTTGCTTGCTATTTATTCCCTCATTTATATCACTTATAGACTGTGACCATGGATCTTCATACTAACCCCTGTAGCACACCACTTGTAAGGGATCCTCATTCTGATTTTTTCCCATTAATGCAAATTCTCTTTCCTATTGGTCAGCCATGCGTCGATCCAGATCATTCCTCCTGTACTACGTGCCGCTACTTTCTTAATCACTCTTCTGTATGGAACTTTATCAGAGATCTTAAGTCCCTGTATACTATCATATTCTTTATTTTTGTCTATCGCCTCGAATACTTCAGTGAAAAAGGTTAGTGAAGTCGTAAGCCAAGAACACCCTCTTGTAAAACCGTGCTGAGATTCGTTGACGACATTATATCTTTCAAGTTGGCTTTAAATTGCAGCAGCAATTATTGATTCCATCAACTTTCTCACAATTGAAGTTAGACTGATTGGTCCATAGTTTGAAGCTAGGGCCCTATCTCCTGCTGAGTAAATGGGTATCAAATTTTCCATGTTCCATTTATATGGTACGGTACCCGTTTTTAGTGATTTCTTAAAGTGACTAGATAATGGTTTGCTAAGTTCCTCTTTACATTTCTTTGGAACCCTTGAAAACAGCTCGTCAGGGCCCGTTGACTTGTTTGGCTTCAGTTTGTCCAGTTGTCTGCTCATAATTTGTTTTCGTTCGGGCCTGGAAAATTTTGACCTCTCAGAGCAAAGATCCCTATTACATTAATGAAACACTTTATTCTTTTTCAGTTTGACCCATACTGATCTGGTAGTTATTTTCGAACATAATGGAGGTCTAAGCTATCCAAAAAGTACATCATTTCTAAGATGTACAAGTTATTTCAAATTCCTCATCAGAATACTGTATGAATAGATATATCCTTTGAAATAAGTATATTCATGAGGAAGAGCTCAACTTGTAGAGGTCGTACAATGCCTGGGGAATGGGAAGCAAACAATTTTGATTTACAGGAGGGTAGGATAAGTCAAATTTCTTGGATTAAGAGCCTTTCTCCGGCATCATAGCATATCCACTGAACTAAAAGAACTTAACCTCTAGCATATAATTTTACTCATAGAACATTACGATTTCTTGAGTTATTTTATAGGTAATAGTGCTGAAGGCGGCTCAGCGGTCCCTGCGGCTGAGCGGTCTCCTCCTGAAAGGGGTGCGGCTGAGCGGTCCCTTCCTGAGCGGTCCCTCCCGAAAGGGCTGCGGCTGAGCGGTCCCTTTTTCACACCTATGTGCTAATGACCTTTTTCACACCTATGTGCTAATGACCTTAACCCCGCCCACGACCCACGACCCCCCCCCCGCCCCCCCACCCGCCCCCCCCCCCCCGCCCCCCCCCGCGCCCCCCCGACCGTCGCGCCGACCCACCGGCCCCACCGCGCCCTCGCGCCCCGCCCACGCCCCTCGCCCCGCCCACGCTCCTCGCCCCTTGAAGGTGTTCAAAGTAAAGTGAGTGTGTGTATGTGTGTGTGTGTGTGTGTGTTAGGTGGTCATAGAGTTTTGTGAATATCTTGGTTACAGTGATTTTAGTGGATTTGAGTAGGATAAGTTAGGTTAGGTTAAGTTAGGTTAGGATAAGTTAGGTTAGGTTAGATTAGGATAAGTTAGGTTAGGTTAGATTAGGATAAGTTAGGTTAGGTTAGGTTAGGATAAGTTAGGTTAGGTTAGGTTAGGTTAGGATAAGTTAGGTTAGGTTAGGTTAGGTTGGTTCGGTTAGGTTGGGATGGTTAGGTTAGGTTAGGTCAGGTTAGGTTAGGTCAGGTTAGGTTAGGTTCGGTTAGGTTAGGTTAGGTTAGGTGTGTGTGTACTCACCTATTTGTACTCACCTATTTGTGGTTGCAGGGGTCGAGTCCTAGCTCCTGGCCCCGCCTCTTCACCGGTTGCTACTAGGCCCTCTCTCTCTTTCCCCGCTCCATGAGCTTTATCAAACCTCGTCTTAAAACTGTGTATGGTTCCTGCCTCCACTACGTCATTTTCTAGGCTATTCCACTGCCTTACAACTCTATGACTGAAGAAATACTTCCTACTATCTCTCTGACTCATTTGTGTCTTCAACTTCCAATTGTGGCCTCTTGTTTCTGTGTCCCCTCCCTGGAACATCCTGTCTTTGTCCACCTTGTCTATTCCACGCAGTATTTTATATGTCGTTATCATGTCTCCCCTGACCCTCCTGTCCTCCAGTGTCGTCAGGCCGATTTCCCTTAATCTTTCTTCATAGGACATTCCCCTTAGCTCTGGAACTAACCTTGTCGCAAACCTTTGTACTTTCTCTAGTTTCTTGACGTGCTTTATCAAGTGCGGGTTCCAAACAGGTGCTGCATACTCCAGTATGGGCCTGACATACACGGTGTACAGTGTCTTGAATGATTCCTTACTAAGGTATCGGAATGCTGTTCTCAGGTTTGCCAGGCGCCCATATGCTGCAGCAGTTATCTGATTGATGTGTGCTTCCGGAGACATGCTCGGTGTTATACTCACCCCAAGATCTTTCTCCTTGAGTGAGGTTTGCAGTCTTTGGCCACCTAGCCTATACTCTGTCTGTGGTCTTCTGTGCCCTTCCCCTATCTTCATGACTTTGCATTTGGCAGGATTAAATTCGAGAAGCCATTTGCTGGACCAGGTGTCCAGTCTGTCCAGGTCTTTTTGAAGTCCTGCCTGGTCCTCATCAGATTTAATTCTCCTCATTAACTTCACATCATCTGCAAACAGGGACACTTCTGAGTCTAACCCTTCCCGTCATGTCGTTCACATATACCAAAAATAGCACTGGTCCTAGGACCGACCCCTGTGGGACCCCGCTCGTCACAGGTGCCCACTGTGATACATCATTACGTACCATGACTCGTTGTTGCCTCCCTGTCAGGTATTCTCTGATCCATTGCAGTGCCCTTCCTGTTATATGCGCCTGATGCTCTAGCTTCTGCACTAATCTCTTGTGAGGAACTGTGTCAAAGGCCTTCTTGCAGTCCAAGAAGATGCAATCAACCCACCCCTCTCTCTCTTGTCTTACTTCTGTTATTTTATCATAAAACTCCAGAAGGTTTGTGACACAGGATTTGCCTTCCGTGAATCCGTGCTGGTTGGCATTTATACTCCTGTTCCGTTCCAGGTGCTCCACCACTCTCCTCCTGATAATCTTCTCCATAATTTTGCATACTATACACGTCAATGACACAGGTCTATAGTTTAGTGCCTCTTTTCTGTCTCCTTTTTGAAAATGGGAACTACATTTGCCGTCTTCCATACCTCAGGTAGTTGCCCAGTTTCCAGGGATGTGTTGAAGATTGTGGTAAGTGGCATGCACAACATATCTGCTCCCTCTCTAAGGACCCACGGAGAGATGTTGTCCGGTCCCATTGCCTTTGAGGTATCGATGTCCCTTAGCAGTTTCTTCACCTCCTCCTCATCTGTATGTATGTCGTCCAACACTTGTTGGTGTATTCCTTGCTGGTGTCCCCATCTGGTCTGTCCCCCCAGAGTCCTTCCTGTCTCTACTGTAAATACTTCCTTAAATCTCGTGTTGAGCTCCTCACATACCTCTTGATCGTTTCTTGTGAATTCTCCACCTTCTTTCCTCAGCCTTATCACCTGTCCTTGACTGTTGTTTTCCCTCCTAATGTGGCTATACAGCAGTTTCGGGTCAGATTTGACTTTCGATGCTATGTCGTTTTCATACTGTCGCTGGGCCTCCCTCCTTATCTGCTTTCTTTATCTGTTTTCTTATCTGTTTTCTTATCTGTTTTCCTGGGTCCTATGCCTCCTGTACCTTTTCCATTCTCTGTTGCACTTAGTTTTTGCCTCTCTACACCTTCGGGTAAACCAAGGACTCGTTTGGTCTTCCTATTATTTCTGTTTCCCATGGGAACAAAACTTTCCTCTGCCTCCTTGCACTTTGTTGCCACATATTCCATCATCTCGTTTACTGATTTTCCTACCATTTCTCTGTCCCACTGAACCTCCTGCAGGAAGTTTCTCGTACCTGTGTAGTCCCCCCTTTTATAGTTTGGCCTGTCCCCTTCAGTTCCTGTTACCTTCTCCACTTGTAACTCTACTATATAGTCAAAACTGTGTGTGTGTGTGTGTGGGGTGTGTGTGTGTGTGTTAGGTGGTCATAGAGTTTTGTGAATATCTTGGTTACAGTGATTTTAGTGGATTTGAGAAGGGAGATGAGATGCATTTGTGGATGTGAAATGTGATTTTTGTGTGTGTTCAGAAGAGGTGTGTTGGGAGATGGGTGAGTGGATGTGAAGAAATGCGGG